AATGTCAGTAACATCAGGAACATCATCAGGAACGCCGGTAACATCCGTAAAGTCGGTAACATAAGGAACATCAGGAACGTCAACATTTGTAATGTCAGTAACATCAGGATCATCAATATCAGGAACGTCAGTAACATCTTTAATGTCAGTAACATCAGGAATGTCAACATCAGGAATGTCAGTAACATCAGGAACTTGTTCAGGAATGTCAGTAATATCTGTAATGTCAGTAACATCAGGATAATCAGGAACATCAGTAACATCTGTAATGTCAGGTAACATCAGGAACGTCAACATCAGGAATGTCAGTAACATCTGTAATGTTCGTACAGATGCTAACCCTTCAAAACTTACTGAGAAACTCCTCCCAGAAAGATGAGATCTCACCCATTAAAGGGCTGCTCCCTTTAATACCCACCCAGTTCTCAAGTCAGTCTATCAGAATGTCATGATCGACTCTATTGAGTGCTGCAGATAAATCTAAAAGCAGATGCAGCACAGCATCGCCTTCATCTGTAGCTCGGAAAATATTCAAAAACATCAACAAAGAAGTTTCCGTACTGTGATGGGTCCTGAACCCAGATTGAAACTCGTCCACAATGCCCCACCTATCGATAACAGTCATTAGCTGCTCACGTGCAATTTTCTCCAGAATCTGTGAAAAGAAGGGCAATTTAGAGAGAGGTCTATAATTAGCTAATGCTGAAGAGTCATGGCCAGATTTCTCTAGGAGGGCATTCACAACCATATGTTTGAATGAGCTAGGCTCAACAGGCTAGTATTCAGGTTATTTAAAATTGGCAGTCCCAGCAAATAAAGGACTTCCTTTAGAAGCCGAGGTGGTAGAATATCTTCTGGAGAACCAGATGGTCTCATGTCCTGTACCACTTTGTGCAAGTCAGCTAGAGAAATGGGGTTGAAAAGAGAATCAACAGCAGGAATCAAACCTGAGGTCCGTGGAGAGGAAACAAACACCCGGTCTTAGCCAATTTAACCTTGTCCAGGAAGAAAGAAGCATGCCTATTCCAAAGCTGAAGGTTTGCTAACATTTAAAATACTATCAGTTGTTTCAACCAAAGTCCGGGGTTGACCAAAACTGACTCCGTGAGGGTGGCATGAGGCCCAACAGCCACAGGTGGAGGTTGTTCTCATAGCCCAGTATCTTCATAACTTATGAAGTTTAGGCCGAGAGTCTGCAGCATACGCTAAATAAACCACAATATCATCCACATGATGGGCTAATTTATGGTCAGATACCCCCAGAGTTTAGCGTGACATGTGTTCTAGTGCACATGGGAGGGGGGGGGGGACACATTCATGGCATCTGAACCAGAGTCTGGGTCAGTTTCACCACAGTAAGAAACCACACCACCTTACTGCAGGTGCCTCACCTTGACGCCTTGATGGAAAACAACTGTGAGGACATCACAGGTGGAGGTTGGGCCAGAGCTGGGGAAAGCCTGATGTCTTTTGAATCCAGTAGGCAGGTGGCTGTCCTCCTATCAGAGGGACTTCATGAGAAGGTCCAGTCTCATCCAAGGCTCAGGAGGGCAGAGGTTCTGACCCAGTCTAGAACTCCTGAGTTAGACCTCATCTTTCTCTGGCACCAGAACATTTTCTCAGGAACATTTTCTAACTGACTTCTGAATCATTCAGCCAGAAAAGGCTCCCAACTCGAGGGATGATCCAGAGTTGATACCAAACCAGTTAAAACCGGACCTGTAGTCTAGAGATGGTTACCATGGAGACGTGTGTAAAGGTTTCACCTCAATCTGGTCTGAGCTAGATCTGTAACAGCTCTGATGTGGAACCCAGTCTGACCCAGGTTACTAGGTTTGAGATCAGAACCACCTCTGACCCCATTACAGTGTGTTTGTGTGTGTGTGTGTGTGTGTGTGTGTGTGTGTGTGTGTGTGTGTGTGTGTGTGTGTGTCCAGGGATTATGTCACTCACTGGCCTGTTCCTATAAATATTCTGGCCCAGGAGGAGGATAACCCACCTGGCTTTACCACCAGGTGGCAGCACTGGAACATGACATCAGCGGTCAACTCAGCTGATACTTCGGGGATCAGTTTCATGCCCAGAACTGGATGCAAGAATATGTCAGGATGAGTTTTGATCTCCAGATGTGCCCCAGATGTTCCACACCCCGTTTTCTCTCATAGCATTTATCTGGACCTGAGAGCTGTCCCTCTGTGCCCAGTACTCACTCACCATAGAACACTCCATGCAGGGATCAACCATGGAGATGGGGTGAGGACCTTGGACTGAGTTGAGAACAACTTCTCCTCCATGAGAGGAGCAAGCCAAAATCCTCCTGGGAGTTGACCCTAGACCTGAAGACCTAGACCTGGAACCAGGTGAAGATGAGGATTTTATCTGTTTTCATGACTTTGATCCTAAATCATCCAACCCAAGTGGTTCTGACCCAGGTGATCCTCTGATGTTTGGAACTGCAGAACGAGCTCAGATGGTGACGATAATCTTCTCAGGCAACACAATTAGGTCCAATTGGACCAGGAGCAGCTGATCTTTTAAGCTTCTTCCAGGTTTCAGATCAGTCTCTAATTTAAAGGACGGGCAGTCAAATCCACAACCTGACTCATGTGGTCCAGGAAGCTCCTTCTGGACCAGAAGAAGGAACCAGGGAAGGATCCTTTAACCAGAGCAGGCTGTTGGTCCCATGTTCAGAAGAAGCAGAAAGCTGACAACACAAACAAGAAGACCACAACCGAGAGGATAATGGCAATGGAACAGTCAGAACAGGAACCATCTTCAGGAGGACCAGGTTCCAGTGGGCTGAGCAGGTCCAAGCAGATGGACTTCCTGCTGGTTTCAGATCTCTAGCAGTTTGGGGGTTGGAACCTGAAACAGGTCTGGGATTGTCCTGGAAACCTTGATGGTTTCAGTTTGAGAGGATGGTCTCCATGGCGATGCTCAGATAGACAACAGAATCAGACAAGTTCTGGACCAGGCTGAGCTGAGTGGGTTCGGAGTCTGGGTAGGAACAAAGGTGTCCAGCAGAAGACAAAGATGAGTCAGAAAACGGCGTCCTGTCCCCATCTCTGGGTAATTGGATCCATAATGCAGCAGCTGATGGCCCTTGATGTGTTAATGAGGAGGTTCTGTTCATCAGAGCGGGTCCATTCATCTCAGGCCCTGGTGCTGAAGTGATCTGGGGAGAGAGAGAGAGAGAGAGAGAGAGAGAGAGAGAGAGAGAGAGAGAGAGAGAGAGAGAGAGAGAGAGAGAGAGAGAGAGAGAGAGAGAGAGAGAGAGAGAGAGAGAGAGAGAGAGAGAGAGAGAGAGAGAGAGAGAGAGAGAGAGAGAGAGAGGAGAGAGAGAGAGAGAGAGAGAGAGAGAGAGAGAGAGAGAGAGAGAGAGAGAGAGAGAGAGAGAGAGAGAGAGAGAGAGAGAGAGAGAGAGAGAGAGAGAGAGAGAGAGAGAGAGAGAGAGAGATGAGAGAGAGAGATGAGAGAGAGAGAGAGAGAGCGAGAGAGAGAGAGAGAGAGAGAGAGAGAGGAGAGAGAGAGAGAGAGAGAGAGAGAGAGAGAGAGAGAGAGAGAGAGAGAGAGAGAGAGAGAGAGAGAGAGAGAGCGCCTCAGTGAGGATTTACCTTTCATCTCTACGACATCGCTGCTTCAGGTTGTATTCAGCTGAGATTCTGTTGTCGTTGTTGTTGTTGCTTTAAATTCAATCACAAACCTTTATTTAATCTGTTAGTTTCACACAGAACCAACTTTTATTTTTTGAGTCTGGATGAATGTTTGTCAGAAATCAGCTTGCGTTGCTGCTGAGTAGAGAGGCTTCCTACTCAGAACCGCGAATAGAGCAAAACCGGGCCTTGGGGTGACTTTTGGGCCGGTTCAGAAATCAGACGACAAACTCAAGAAAAGTTTATTCAAATTCTAAAATATTGGAGACAGCAGAAGTTTACGTGTGTGTGTGTGTGTGTGTGTGTGTGAGCGTGAGTGTGTGTGCATGCATGTATGTGGGTGTGAATCTGAATGTGTGTGTGTGTGTGTGTTGTGTGTGTGCGTGTGTGTGTGTGCATGCATGCGTGTGGGTGTGAATCTGAATGTGTGTGTGTGTGTGTGTCTTGCCCAAGGACACAGTGCCTGACACACCCTGGGTTGAACCAGCAACCCACTGATGACAGAGTGAAGACCTATAACAGTTGCCTCCCTAAAGCCTGGGTAATCCTCTAAACTAGTTCTGCTCCAGAACCACCCTGAGACCGGGTCCAGCACACCTTGGTTGTTCTGGGAGGTCTGGTTGTGTTCTGTAAGGTGTTAAAGCAGAACGTAAACAGGAAGTGAACAGCTTGTTCTCCTGGTTTTTCATGAATTGTAAAGTTTCTTGAAAAAATCCTGAACAGATCCGGGTCAGAACCGGGACTGAGTCACCTGCCGACAATTAAGTAGACATGTGAGTTGGGTTCTAAATCCATCTGACAGCTGACACGGTGTTGGAAGGCAGCAGGTGTCTGAGTACTGTTGTTGTTGCTGGTCGATGACCGCTTCCTGTTGTCACAGTGCTTCTGCTGCCACACTTCCTGTTGGCGATCAATAATTCATGTTGCCTTGGTCCTAGCAGCTTAAACGAATCAGATGTCACGGTACCAGGAGACGGTCCTCACTCCGTCACAAGAGACAAACCCACCAATGGTTCTGAGAGCCAGAAGTTCTGTTTCCTAAATGGGTTCTCGCCTGCAGGAAGTGGGAAAGCAGAAATGGGTTCAGTCCAAACCCAGGGTGTGAGTTCTGCTGTTTAAACCCAGAGAGTGGTTCTGGTGGTCCACGTATCCAGCTGGTTCTGGTCTCAGCTCTGGTGACTTCCTCAGAGGTTCTGATGGAAGTGTGTGTGTGTGTGTGTGTGTGTGTGTGTGTGTGTGTGTGTGTGTGTGTGTGTGTGTGTGTGACAGAAAAACCTACAATGGACACTGAAATAACTTGAATTTGACAAAAGTTCTAATAAAATTTCAGCCGCTCTTCAATGGAATTATATAAAAAAAACTCGTACTTGTAAAACTGAGCTTGTGACCTTTGAACCTTTTAGGCTAACGGATTTCTGCTCCAACAGCACAGAAGAACCTTCCACAGTCCGGGTCGTTTGGATTTGCCTCTGAAACCAACATGGAAACTTTTTTCTGTCGTCACTTTAAGAGGAAGGAAGCAGCGCTGCAGGGGGAGATGGACGCCCCCACCCGCCGCCAGCGGAGGCCCAGCGTTGCTGTCCCTACCAGCAAGGCTCGTCGGAGGTCCAGCGCTGGTCTTCCTTCCTCTGCTTTGACCCAGCGGCGCCGCTCTAGCATCCAGATTCATCCAGGGCTTCTCTGTGCTGGCGGCGGTGACCTGGCGACAACGCCTCATCACGGCAGGGTGAGACCTGTCCGCAGGCGCTCCAGCACCACCACCCCCTCCCTGAACCCGAGGTTTGCTGTGCAGCGCAGGAAGGTGAGGAAGCTGCAGACCATCGACACCCATCTGCTGGGTCCGTCCATGCTGCTCGCCAGCCTGATCCGGATGGCTGAGGAGGAGGAGGGTGAAGGTGCGCTGGGGCCGGGGCTATCGACTGGAGAGCAGCAAGTGGAAGTTAGAGGCGGGGCTAATAATGAGGGATCATTTTCATGCTCCAGCAGCCTCCTATACGACAGAGGTGAAGACAGTGACAATTACTCCCCCAACAGCAGCCAATCGGAAAGCAGCCAGCTGTCTGAGGCAGAGCAACTGCCAGAGGAAGAGACTGACTCTTCCCGATTCCTTGCCTATCCAGCCTCCATCCCCTCCTCCGTCTGCTCCTTGCAGGTGCTAAGGAACCCGCCCCAGGTTGTCTCTCAGTCACGGCCCCTGCTCCGGGCCCCTCGCTGCCTCCGCAGGAACTCCTCCTGCCATCAAGCCTCCAGTCAGATGAAGAGGAGGAAGATCTCCACCATCTCCAAAGCCGGGAGCCCATGGCCAGGGAGGGGCCGCAAGCACTCTGTGTACTACCTCCATCATCCAGCCTTCTACAGGGGCCATGGGGCCCTCAGCCCCCTGGGGGCCCATGGCTATGAAACCAGCTTGAGTGCTCTCCTGCTGTATGTAGTCCCACTGCTGCTCGTCTCACTCAGTCCACGGGTCAGAACATGTGGTTCTGGTTCTAATGAAGCATCAGCAGGGTGTCATCGTCTGAAAAATAACCATAAAACACACGAAGGTTCTTTACATGTTCCCTTTAAACAATCAGGCTCCGCCTACTGTTCCACATCTAGAAACAGATTTTGATTGGATGTTCAGGCTTAGAGGATGAAAGTTGATTTTTTTCAATTTGAATTAAAGAAAGAACAAAACGTAAATTTGTTTTAACGTCAAAATTTATTAATATTTTTTCATGATTATCTTCATAATCATTTATATAATAGTCATTTCTTTGTTATGATAATTATTATAAATAACTTAATATTCTTTTCATTATTATATTTTTTATTATTTATAATATTATTGTCATGACTTTATTATTATTTTTATTGTCATTATTTTATTATTATTAATCATTTCATTTATTCATTTATGGAGCACCTTCCACAACCTTTAGCAGACGCCCAAGGTGCCGAGCACAACAGTACAAAGCAATCGTAACAATAAACACAACCAAAAGATTAGCCTCTGTCGGTGCGCCCCAAGGCAGCTGTGGCTACATCGTAGCTCATCACCATCAGTGTGTGAATGGATGAATGATACACTGTACGGTAAAGCGCTTTGGAGTCCTTACTCTGAGAGGCGCTATACAAGTGTGGGTCATTTATCATTTACAAATAAATAAAAACAGTAAAAACGGCATAAAAACTGGTAAAACACAACAATTAAAACCAAGACAAAATTACAGAGCCTAGTGGTGAAAATGCCTGGACATAATAATGGGCCTTCAGACGTGGCTTTAAACATCTGAAAGGAAGGTGCCAGCCTAACAGTCAAAGGTAAACTGTTCCACAAAGTTGCAGCAAGGACTGCAAAAGCACGATCTCCCCTCGACTTGCATCTGGATTGAGGGACCACCAATAATACGTGGTCACCAGAGAGAAGAGAGCGGGTGGGAACGAGCCTTTGCAGAAGTGCTGATAAACTCTGGTCCTCTGCGTCTGAGTCAGGTGTCTGACTAGCTGAGCTATCCATTTGACATTTGAATGTTAATACTCTTCAGAACCCGATGGAGCAGAGCGGAGTTTGTGCTCCACCCACTGGGGTTGTGACATCACCCTGTTAGTTTTAGGCTGCTTTTCTTCCATCTTCTGCTGATTCACAGCGGTTTGAATGCAGAAATACTCAGAAATACAATTTTGAGCTTACATTTCTTTAGATGTGACCTGTAGCATAAGAAAAATGTCTCAAGAATATGTCAAAAACACGATTTCGTAAGCGTGGGTCTTTTAAATATGATCTCGTGTTTTCTTCATACCACAAACTCAGCTTATCCATATCAACACGTTTGAATTTTCCTCGTTTATTTTGTGCAAAATCATCTAAAAAGGATCAATACTAAAGACCTTTAGATAAAACATCAGATTATTTAATAAAAAAAAACTTAAACTCTCAAACTTTAAATTTGAATAAGAACAAAGCTGCAGGTTTTAATCATGGAAGCAGATTAATTTAGTTATGAACAAACTCTAAAGCCAAACTGGACCGCTTACATTTAACCTGATTGTTTTGTGTTAAATTAGATTTTTTACAATAACTGACAGAATTAAATGTTTAAGATGTTTTTTTCTCTTTGCAGGAAAGCGATCACCAAGTCGAGTCTTCAGAACATTCAGCCCAACATGTCTACATTGGGACAGACGGACCTGCTGCAGCCCAACAGTAACATCGACTGGACTGTAAGTAACCAGCAGAAGTTACAGACGTTTTCCCAGCAGAGTTCTATAAAGAATTCTGGATCATTCTGGCTCCAACATTCTTCAGAATGGTGAGGGAAATCGGAGAGAGCGGCAGATTACAGCCAAACATGAATTCAGCCAATATTAGTCTTGTTAAAACCAGGCAAAGACCCTGCATTTCCTTCCATTTATCGCCCAATTTCCCATATTAATATTGATCTCAAAATAATTTGTAAAGCCCTGGCAAAAAGATTAGAGAGGGTAACCCCTTTCATAAAACACCCTGACCAAACTGGTTTCATTAAGGGTAGACAGTCATCCACAAACTCACGTAGATTACTTAATTTGATAGATTTCTCTTGCAGTAGAAACATAGAAACTAGTATATTATCTCTAGATGCAGAAAAGGCTTTTGATGGGGTTAACTGGAAGGTCTTATTTGCAACTTTACATAAATTTGGTTTAGGAACTTCTTCATAAACTGGCTACAAACATTATACAGTTCGCCAACTGCATGTGTCAGGACAAACGACCAAATATCAGCTAGCTTCTGTCTTCAGCGGGGGACCAGGCAGGGATGCCCACTCTCCCCCTCACTGTTTGCTATATTTATCAAACCACTAGCAGCAGCAATCAGCCAAACAACAGGTATTAATGGCATAAAGTGTAAGAACATAGACCATAAAATCAATCTTTATGCAGATGATGTTACTTTTTCTCCAGAATTCTCAGTCCTCTCTCTCAAGCAATAGAACTGATAAACTCTTTTTCAACAGTTTCAGATTACTCTATAAACTAGTTAAAATCAACAGTTCTACCATTCAAGTTCTCTTTTGTCAATTTGCTTAATACACAATTGGAGTCAGGGAATATCACATACCTGGGAATGAATGTCTCTCCCAAGTTGGCAGATCTAACCAAACTAAACTACATCCCACTTTTAAAGAAAGTGGAAGATGATCTTGCAAGAGGGAAATCCTTACCGATATCACTCATGGGGAGGGTTGCTACAATTAAAATGATGGTCTTACCCAGAATAAATTACTTTTTTTCAATGATCCAAACAAACCACCAGCTGACTGTTAAAGATCTCTGGACTCCTTAATCACTAAATTCCTTTGGCAGGATAAAACTCCACGAATTAGCCTAAAAACGCTTCAGAAGACCAAAGACCGAGGAGGACTGGATCTACCCAACTTTTATCATTATTTCTTAGCAAACAGGCCGCAATATATACCAAGATGGTTGCAACATAAACCTCTACATCTAGTGCTGTCCTGGTTAGCTTTAGAACAGACACTTTGCAATACGATAGAGCTTTCAAACTTACCATTTATTAGCTCAAGCATAAGAAAACATGAAGGCTTCAAAAGTATTAGTATCAGCACCTCTCTGACAGCATGGTGGGAGTATCTAAAAATGACAGTCTTCACTAATACCATGCAGACACACACCTATCTGGAATAATCCTGATATTTTGCTAAGTAACAAAATGATTAAACTTCCAGACTGAAAAAGTAAAAGAATCCTATACCTGGAACACATATGAAGGATTGGACTTCATCCCATTTAATAGAATAGTCTCCCAATTTGGGATAGATAAGAATAGCATTTTAGAATAACACCCAATTAAATCTGCAGTTAAACAAAAATTTAAGCTTAATAAAGTAGAATTGTAAACACCACCAAGGGTATTAGACTTCTATAATCTCAAACCCCGCAAACTACTGTCTAAAGTTTATAAGACACTGTCCAAAATAGACGATAGAATAGCAATCCCTATTGAAAAATGAAAGGTGTCTCTATCAGTCAGCTTTGACCAGAACTTCTGGTCCCAAACTTGCTTAAAAACTTTTAAAATGATCAGACACTCCAATTTACAATTAATTCAGTAAAAATTCTGCACAGAGTACACTATACAGGATGGGGTTCAAGATGGGGTTTGTGTCATCTGACACCTGTACACACTGCACAAACAACATTCCTGACAATTACATCCACACACTGTGGTCCTGTCCACCTGTCCAGGAATTTTGGGAAAGAATATGTGAAGACCTGTCAAAGTGTCTGAAAGTTCATATCCCAACTTCCCCCTCTTTGTTTACTGGGAAACCTGGGCGATGTCCAGATTGAGACACCTTTGGTTTACGTGTTCTGATGCCACATGCATCGCTAAGAAAACTGTCCTCATGAATTGGAAAAACAGAGATACTCTTTGCATTAACCAGTTTATTAGATCATATTATACTTGAGACAGCCTCTGCTTTCATTTCAAGTCAATCTCTCTGGGCTCCTTTGATCGGTTCCATCACATGGTGATGATAGGCCGGTCATTGATATTGTCCTGCGGGATGATGTGGGTGATGGGGTGGAGGGTCTGAGTTTGGAGTATCCGGACATTCCCTGGAGGTGGGTTCGCTGTCGGTGTCTGGGACTGGGGGGCTGTTGCCCCCCTCTGGAGGTGCTTGGGTTGCCTTGGGTGGTGGACTACTGGCGGTTGTGAGTGGGGCCCCTTGAGGGGTCTCGGCCGCAGCCATGTGTTGCTGCCTGGCGGCTGCATTGCCCCTGGATAGGTCTGGGTGGGGGCCTGGGGGCTCGGGGTGTGGGGGCAGCAGGCCCCGTGTGGGGATCTGGGCGGGGACTTGGGGATGAGATCCTGACTCGTAATCTGCCGTGAAGAAGGCAGGAACAAGCGGCAGTGCATGACCCAGGCTCAAGGGCCTCAGGTGGACCTTGGCTCCTCCGGAATAACAACAACTCTGTCTGGGGGGAGGGGCATGTCCAGGAGGGGGAGGACCCAACCTTACCTGGATGTCTCATGTCTTAAATATTCTGGAAGTTGTGCAAATGCAGGGATGGGAGTAGATATTCTGCTCGGGTGGGGCTGGGTTGGTGACCTCGGACTCTGTGGGGCTCTGTGGTGCTGCTACTTTGAGCCCTGGTGAGATGGGCTGGGGTCTCCATGACCTGGGAGGAATTTTGGGAACGGAGGTGCCTATTGGGGTCAGTGGGGGGAGCTGGCTCCCTGGAGGGCTTAGGCCAACCAGCCATTCCTCCCCATGCCTTTTTCTCCTCCTGCTCCTTCATATCATAACACAATCATGCACATAGGACCTTGGGGGGTGTGCAAGTCGGGGTGCGGGTATGGATCCCATTTCCGCATTCCTGTGGCAGCCTGCCCCCCAATTTTATTCGCACCTTAAACACTTCCACCAATGACATTCTACGCAAATGCACACTTAGGGCCTTGGGAGTGAGCACACTCAAAGGCATTTGGCAAGAGGATCTTTCAGCCTCATCCAGAGAGCCGGTTCCCACTTCCAATTTTAAACTGCACTTAGAGGCACAGAGGGCTGTTGGGGGAAGTGGGGTTGTGTGGTTGCATCAGCTGGCGTAGGCCATACGATGCCTGCACTGCCCTCTCATCACAGCCATGGAATACACCTCATCAACTTGCACCAACAGTATATTGGAGCAGGCGGAGAGAGACTAGAGGTCTTGGCACACCTCTGTTGTCGCTTGGCTTCCCAGGCTGGAGGCTTGGAGGGGGAGCTGGTAGTCTGGTTGGGGTCTGGGGTGGTGGGATGCTTTGCTCAGCATTGGGCAGGGGTGCCTGCTCATCATCACCCCAGCAGAAAGGGGCGAACTCTGGGAACTGGTGATGGTTGTACCCATTGTGCAGCAGTACCGGGACCAAAGTGAATAGGGTGTGTATGGGGAGCGTGAGTGGGTGTCTAATGTTCATTTTTGTAAGTCTTAGTTTGTATGTGTATGTGTGAGCATGAGGGAGGGAGTGTGTGACTGTGTCTGTGTATGGCTGTGTAAGTCAGGTGGGGTCTTGGACTCCTCCCCTCTCCTTGGACTTTTTGTGCTACTATACATCTTTGCCTACCCTTCCCCTGCCACATTTGGTGTGGAGTGTGGTGCCTTGGTCTGTCTGAGTGTTCGCTGCTCCCGGGTCAGGCAGTTTAAGATTTTTGGCGTCTGCCTGATTGATTCCGGTGGCTGCCTGGTGGGATCTGAGTCCCTGGGCTCTGTTGGATCCCCGGCGGGGCTGGTCGCCCCTGGGTCCGGGGTTGCTGGGTTCTGGGCTCGGCCGGCTTGGGGGTGGGAGGCTGCAGATGGGCCTGTGGGCTTGCCGCTGATATCTCCCGGGACTCTGTTGGCTGTGGCCCCTCGGGGCAATCCTCTGCGCCTCTCGAGAGGGGGCTGGGGCTTTTCTGGTTACAGTCTCCCTGGGGTCCCTGCGCTCTGGGACAGCTCCTGGATCTCTGGGACTTGGAGCTCCCTCCATCCCCTACACATATTTGGGGGGCAGATCTGTGGGCCCTCACACTCTCTATTGGACGCTCCTATAGAGAAACCTTACATTTACAAGCGTGTGTACACACACAGGTGCTCACATGGTGCTCTCATAAGTATGGACTTGGGCATTTTCAACACATGTCTTAAGGCTGTGGTTGGCACTTAGTGCACTGTGATTTATTATCGTGTGATTGTTCAATAAAACTATGTTGATTTTATATTTCCTCATCAGGTTGACGCAGTGATAGCTTGCTCTTGTTGCATTGTGTGTATTTTTTCTCTTTCTGCAGGTCTAGAAGCAGACTGTTGTTCATCATTGATTGTTTATTTTTGTGGAACCCCCCCCCTCCCCTTCTCTTCCTTTCTTTTTCACCTCTGTCTCTGTGTCTGGTCAAAATTATAAATCCAAAAACAATGACAATAAAGTTTTAAGTATCAGGCGTGACATTAAAGCAGAAGCTTTGATGCTCCACCTGAGAGTAAATCTGTAAGGCTTGTCACCAGCATTCAGACATTAATTCTGTTTGCTTCACAGCCAGAAAGGACATGGGAAAAAATAAAGTAACCAGCAGAGCCACCAGTATCAGGTCATCAAACACTGGGAGGAAGGTGGTTGGATGGGGGGTAGGAAGTGGATCGGGGTGATATTTCTGATTTTATTCTCAAAGAATGCAAGAAAGTTGTTACAGTCAGACCTTAAGTAAACTGGCATGAGAGGGGTGTGAGGAGAAACAATCTGATTGTCAAACAGGACTTTAGAGTTATTTTTGTTTACGGCAGTCAGCTGAGCAAAGTAAGTGGCCCTGGAATTTTTCACTGTCTCATTCAGAGATGTTATCAGTTCTTTAAAGTGCAGCCTTTGACTTTCTAATCTAGTTGACTTCCAACATCTCTCGGCTATGTGGCATGTCCTTGACCTGAGACTTGAAATGTTTTGATTAATCCAAGGACTTTTCCTCTTGTTGGATAAAATTATCAGCTTAACAGGTGCTACTATATCTAAGATGCTGCATCATTGTTTATCCAATGACTGGCTGAACAAGATCATCACCCTGAACTGAGTTGCTGTCAAATCTTGAAAATCCATCCACTGCTGACTGATTAATGATATGTCTAATTGATTTAGTTCGTGAGTGAGAGATCAGTGATAGATTGGACAGAAAATGCAGCTGTGGTCCCTCACATGAACCTCTTCAACATGTAAATGATTCATGTTTAGTCCCAAAGAGAAAACAAGATCTAGAGTGTGTCTCATTTAGTGTGTGGGGCCTGAAACGTGCTGCTCTAAGTTAAAAGACTCAGTGATAGACATGAACAAGTCAGATCATTAATGTGGAAGTTAAAGTCACCAATGATTAAAACTGTTTCTAGTCTGATCATTGATGATAGAAAATCTGCTAATTCAGAGAGAAAAGGGCCAGCTGGACCGGGAGGTCGGTAGATTAAAATACAGTGAAATACATTTTGTAACCCTACTTTGATGACCTGTCATTCAATAGTAAAAGGGCCATTTTCCACCAAATTACAGACATGTTTGTCCATAAAGACCACAACAAGACCTCCACCACAACGTGATGGGTGTGGTGTGGTAAACACAGAGCTATTGGTGGACATATTTCATTAAAATGTACAAAGTCTCCATCTTGCTACCACGTCTCCATAAGAAATAAATAGTCCAACTTTTCTCTGGTGAACAGCTCATTTAAAATAAAGGATTTGTTTGAAATGGAGCGGGCATTTAACAGGGCACACTGAACGGAGTCCTGGAGAACATTTGTCTTCCTAACCTGTTCACAGACGGTTGTGTAGTTATGGTGTTGTGTGTTGCAGGAGAGTGCTCAGTATGGAGAACACATCTGGTTTGAGGCCAGCGTTTCTGGAGACTTCTGTTATGTTGGAGAACAGTTCTGTGTGGCCAAATTGCTGGTAGGACACACACACGCCCACACACACGCACGCACGCATGCACACACACACCATCCACCAATCCATCATCCATCCAATTAGGTGCCTCAGCGAGGAGGGTATCGCTGCAGACCTGGAGACTGCAGATTCAGGCTTGTACTGTTTTTGAGGCCCACTGTTTGCTAGCATTCCAAGATGGAGTAAGTATAGAATGTGGAGAACAGTATTTGTTTAATTGGTAAGGAGGAAGAAAACAAAAAATAAAATGGACCATCCAAAGGACCAATAATAATGCAGCTAGGCTTTAAATAAAGTTTTACTTTAATAAAATGTATTCAGTTCATCATTGCAAAGTTCCACGTCATTCTGCATTGAATTAATGAGCCATATGTGTTTTGGTCCATCGAAGTGTTACGAGGTGGTTGATCTAAGGATGTCCAAAACCAGGAAAATTGGAAGAAGTTTTATGTTTTTTTTTGTTTCTACAAACTACTTCCATTAGATAAATATGATAAAAGTTTTTATTATTTAAAGTTACTCAGTAGTTTCAAATTTGTATTCTGAGAACTACTTCACTGAAGCTTTAACAACGAATAAACTTTTTAATAAGCTTCACTGACAATTACATACTTTTATATGTAACTATTTAACAGCAGAATCTTGAATCTGCAGCAGGCCTGAATCTGCGGTCTCTGGGTCTGCAGCGATATACTATTGGCCTCAGCACAGAAACACTCAAGTGTGTGTGTGTGTGTGTGTGTGATGCAGCAAAAGTCCGTATCGAGGATGAAGTGTGCTGGCTGTAAAATCTCCGTGCACGTGATGTGCATGGATCAGTTGGAGAAGGTAAAACCCATCTGGATTAAGCTCTTTAATCTGACCAGTTTCTGCGGCCCCACTCACCTCTTCTCTCCTCGGTTCAGATTAACTTCAGATGCAAACCGACCTTCAGGGAACCGGCATCCCGCGCTGTCCGAGAGGTCAGAAGTCACACCAGAATCTAGGTCTGGGTCAGTTTTAGGTTTCAGAACCATTCATATTCAGAACTTCTTTCTGTTTCTAGGCCAACGTGGTTCGACACCACTGGGTCCACCGCAGACGCCAAACTGGAAAGTGTCGGCAGTGTGGGAAGGTGGGTCCAGGTCCTGGAAGGTCAGAACCTTCTCAGAACCAGATCTGACTCATAAAAAATCTGAAACAGAGCAAAAGTATGGATTTGGTTACTGGCAGAATGTTTCTTATTTCTGTAACGGAACGGGTTCTGGTTCTGATTCCAACCGGGTCTCCATCGGGTCAACAGGGCTTCCAGCAGAAGTTTTCGTTTCACAGCAAAGAGATTGTTGCCATCAGCTGTTCTTGGTGCAAACAGGCGGTGAGTTCACCCCCCCACCCCCACCCCACCCCCCACCCCTCCTGGTACTGGTGTTTGGTTCTGGTGTGGGTGAATGACTCACAGGGTTAGCGAGTTGTAATTAGCCACGTTGCGCTAACAGAATCAGCTGTTTGAAACCATTTTGTCTTTAGTGTTTGAATCTGACGGCAGATTTATGATTATTAGTTTTTATTGTCTTGTGTCCTTTCTCCTGTGTCCTCCTGTCCACCATGATGGACAAACTGTCCTGGGTTCCAGTACCACAACAAGGTAGCATGTTTCATGCTGCAGCAGATAGAAGAATGTTGCTCTATGGGGGCTCACGCCACAGTCATCGTCCCGCCCACTTGGATAATCAGGGTCCGCCGACCGCAGGTACACACACACACACACACACACACACACACACACACACACACACACACACACAACAGGGTTCTAGTCCCTGATCACCATTGGTCTTGTTTCTACAGACGTCCCTGAAGTCCAGCAAGAAGAAGAAACGGACGTTGCTGAAGAGCAACAAGTTGAGCAAGAAAGGAACTGAGGTTAGAACATGCGCGCGCACACACACACACACACACACACACACACACACACACACACACACACAGGGCAATAAATCAAAAATGCATCGTCTGACTCTTATCGAGATCATTTTTCCCACGTCAATAAGTTTATTAAATAAAAAATGAAAGATGTGTGTAGGTTGGCAGCGTTCATAACCCTTTAAGAAGCTGTACCACCTTGAGTCATGTAAAAAAGTGACTTGGTGTAATACGCGTGACAGCCCATCTAGTGGACAACTTTTGTTTCTGCACATACCTGTAGTTATCGTCCATTTATCGTTATCGAGGTGATATCCTCAATAAATGGTGATATTGATTTAAGGCCATACCGCCCAGCCCTACTCACACTCACAGAGACAGAACCAACTCTTGTTCGTCCATTGTGGAGGTATTATTCCTGGAGATGCTACAGAAAGTTGTTTCAGCTAACTTCATGTCCCTTTTGTCATCTCTTAGCTCCAAGATGGCCGCTGGAAGCCCTTCCTGGTCAAGCCCCTCCCCTCGCAGCTAATGAAGCCTCTGCTGGTGTTTGTTAATCCTAAAAGCGGCGGGAACCAGGTGATTCCTCTCAGCACTGATCTACAGGGTCCCCCCACCCACACACTACACTAAATGAGATTAAATAAAAATTTTATCTTTAAGGGGTCAAAGGTCATCCAGTCTTTCATGTGGTACCTGAATCCCCGGCAGGTGTTTGACCTGACAAAAGGAGGACCCAGAGAGGGGTAAGGACCAGCCTCCTCCTGGGTCTGATCTAGACCTGTTCCAGGGTCCTGGTCCAGGACGCGTCATTTGGAATTCTAGGATGTCCAAGGAAGTTCTCGCCTCTGATTGGCTGGAAGGGCTCTCCTACGATTGGCTATTTCATGTAAGAGGAAACAGCAGGTTTTTATGTTTACAGCCAGATCTTGAGGAGTGTTTTGAAGGAAATGTGAACTCATCGCTATAATAAACATTGTTTCCTGTTTAGCAACGAACCCGTTTCAGTTTTTTTCATAAAGAACCTGAAAAAAGTTCAAATGTGAACTTGTAATAAATCTTTTTATCTGTTTGCTCTATTGAGGTTATCTGATTACTTACCTTGTGTCTTCACTTCAATAGGTTAAGGCTGTTTACAAGTTAGAGCACATCTCTCATCAGATTAAATATGGATCATTTAATCTAAATAGAATTTAAAGCTGATAATTTTTCACATTTTCATTATTCTACAGAAGAAACAGACCTGCTGCACACAGCTGGGCAGAATAGGGCAGTTTTATTGAAGTTCATACCCAGGTAGGGACATGTTTATCCTATGTACTCTAATGCTTGAGAGCCAAGAGATATAAAGTAAGTCTCACAGTTTGATAAATGAAACAAGATTATAAATTTACATTTTACGTTTTTCAGTTTTTTATTAAACAAATTGTTTTACAAAACAAGACAGAATGGCTTTTATAACGCTAAGTTCACATTTTCTTTACAAAACTCCCCAAAACAGCTTTCTGCTGGGGGTAGGAGGCCAGGCTACACTTAGCGAGGGAAGATGGTTTTCTGCTAAATGAAATAGCCGATCGTAGTGGATCCCTTCTAGCCAATCAAGAGGCAAGAAAGGTGGGATCTTCCTTGGACATCCTACAATTCCAAATGATGCAACCTGGATCAGTGTTCACGTCTGACCCATGTGCTTCCTACAGGCTAGAACTGTACTCAAAGGTTCCCAACCTGCGGATTGTGGCCTGCGGTGGCGATGGCACGGTGAGTACAAAACCTCTCATGGACACCCAACACTGACTGCTGGAGCCTGCACTGACCTGGGTCTAGGAAAAGTTTAATTTAGAGGAGTGTTAAGTTGGGCCAGCATCGCCCCCTGGTGGCTGGGTGACCCATATAAGCCTTTGAGTAGTGATGGGCTTAAGGGCTTGTTTGAAGCTTAAGGGCTTGTTTGAAGCCAAATGGTCAGTTCCCACCACCGCCATCTTGGCTGTTTAACTCATGTTTTGTATTCGTACCACAAAATACAAAAATGGGAAAAGAGGTGAAACTGAGAGTGGAGCTGTGAGCAAATGATTGACAACCATCAAATTCTGAACCGATGTAGCTATGAGCTAACTAAGCTAACCCAAAGCTAACACTGAGCTAGAAGCAAACACAGGTAGCTACAAGCTAACTATGCTAACCCAAAGGTAACACGGAGCTAGAAGCAAACACAGGTAGCTACAAGCTAACTATGCTAACCCAAAGCTAAATGGCTGAACATTGATTAATGTGAGGCCGTAGTTGAGGTCTTTACCGGAGCTAGCCACCAACGCTACCTCTGACGCTTATGCTACCTCTGAATCAAATCTAATAATTCATGATTTCAAGCATTTAGTTACACCTAAACAGAAGAGTTACGCATTAATTCACCCCCTCAGTTGTCATGACTGTTGATCCAACAACCCTTCGATTACAGGAGTACTTCCTGAGCTACTGCCTGGTTATTTCATCTTTGATCTTCTGAGTTTGATTTTCAGAACCGATTGATATCAATGAGCCCGATGTGTTTGATCCCTTCAGGTGGGCTGGATTCTGTCTGTGTTGGACCAGCTGAAGCTCTGCCCCCAGCCCCCAGTGGCCATTCTTCCCCTGGGAACAGGCAATGACCTGGCCAGGACCTTGAATTGGGGAGGGGTGAGTCCTGCTGGTCCAGGTTCAGGTTTTGGTCTAAAGGAGACCTCAGATCTCCTGTTGGGTTTTGGTCAGAACCAGAACAACCCATCGGAGTAGATAATTTAGAAACATATTATTTACGGCCTGTGCCTGTGTTTCAGGGCTACACCGATGAACCAATCACAAAGATCCTGTCCCATGTGGAGGATGGGAACGTGGTCCAACTAGATCGATGGAACCTGAAGGTTGAGGCCAACCTGGAGGCCCAGCCCGAGGACAGAGACGAGCAGCAGACAACCAAGGTCTGTTTCACTTTGTACTTTAACTCTCTGAAGTCAGTCCACACGTCGGCGCTTGACGGCGAGCTGGTTGTGTTACACCCGTTATTATGCAACCAGGAAACCACTTAGCGTCATGATTCTAGTTTGCTGACGATGGGGGCTTAAAAAAAAGTTGTGATTTAATATGTTTATCCAAGCCATTTAAGGTAAATGCCTCATGCCAAGATGAAGGTGCTTTTGCACATTTGATCTGTGGCAGATGCAGAGCGAAATCCTGCCAACGGAGCTCTCTGACTCCACCAGCTCTCGCTGCTTTTTACTGTAAGCTAGGACTCGGGAAGAAAAACAAGACCAAGCTCACCCTGTAAGCTGGGATACAAGTCACAGTCAGGAAATACAGGTGCTGGCCAGTAAATTAGAATATCATCAAAAGGTTGAAAATATTTCAGTAATTCCATTCAAAACGTGAAACTTGTACATTATATTCATGCAATGCACACAGACCAATGTATTTCCAATGTTCATTACATTTAAATTTGATATTCATAAGTGACAACTAATGAAAACTCCAAATTTGGTATCTCAAAAAATTAGAATATTCTGAAAAGGCTGAATATAGAAGACACCTGCTGCCACTCTAATCAGCTGATTTACTCAAAACACCTGCAAAGGCCTTTAAAAGGTCCCTCAGTCTTGTTTTGAAGGCACCACAATCATGGGGAAGACTTCTGACTTAACAGCTGTCCAAAAGACAATCATTGACACCTTGCACAAGGAGGGCAAGACACAAAAAGGTGATTGCTAAAGAAGCTGGCTGTTCGCAGAGCTCTGTGTCCAAGCACATTAACAGACAGGCGAAGGGACGGAAAAAATGTGGTAGAAAAAAGTGTACAAGCTCTAGGGATAACCGCACCCTGCAGAGAATTGTGACGACAAACCCATTCAAAAATGTGGGGGAGATCCACAAAGAGTGGACTGCAGCTGGAGTCAGCGCTTCAAGAACCACCACGAGGAGACTCATGAAAGACATGGGATTCAGGTGTCGCATTCCGTGTGTCAAGCCACTCTTGAACAAGAAACAGCGCAAGAAGCGTCTCGCCTGGGCCAAGGACAAAAAGGACTGGACTGATGCTGAGTGGTCCAAAGTTATGTTTTCTGATGAAAGCAAGTTCTGCATTTCCTTTGGAAATCAAGGACCCAGAGTCTGGAGGAAGAGCGGAGAAGCACAGAATCCACGTTGCATGAGGTCCAGTGTAAAGTTTCCACCGTCAGTGATGGTGTGGGGTGCCATGTCATCTGCCGGTGTTGGCCCACTCTGTTTCCTGAGGTCCAGGGTCAATGCAGCCGTCTACCAGGAAGTTTTAGAGCACTTCATGCTTCCTGCTGCTGACCAACTTTATGGGGATGCAGACTTCACCTTTCAACAGGACTTGGCACCTGCACACAGTGCCAAAACCACCAGCACCTGGTTCAAGGACCATGGTATCCCTGTCCTTGATTGGCCAGCAAACTCGCCTGACCTTAACCCCATAGAAAATCTATGGGGTATTGTGAAGCGGAGGATGCAATACGCTAGACCCAACAATGCAGAGGAGCTGAAGACGACTATCAGAGCAACCTGGGCTCTCATAACACCTGAGCAGTGCCACAGACTGATCGAGTCCATGCCACGCCGCATTACTGCAGTTATTGAGGCAAAAGGAGCCCCGACTAAGTATTGAGTGCTATACATGCACATTCTTTTCATGTTCATTCTTTTCAGTTGGCCAACATTAGAGAAACAAACATTTTTTCATTGGCCTTTAGAATATTCTAATTTTCTGAGATACCAGATTTGATGTTTTCATTGGTTGTCACCTATAAATATCAAAATTAAACGTAATAAACATCGGAAATACATTGGTCTGTGTGCATTGCATGAATATAATGTACAAGTTTCACGTTTTGAATGGAATTACTGAAATATTTTCAACCTTTTGATGATATTCTAATTTACTGGCCAGCACCTGTAGGTGCAGGCAGGGAAACCTTTCTGCTTCAGTGGGTGTGCTCGATGCTGCTTCCAGGTGGACAAAGTCAGAAAGGACACCCACCAGATTTGGAAACCCTCTGATGTTCCCCTTAGCTTATTTTGAGGCTTGGCACATATAAACTATGGCTTTTGGTCGTGACACCTTTCTTGTAAATGTAGCGTACCAAATAGCCAGGTTTTCCATCAAAAAGGACCAGAAGTTAACTTTTAGCTTACAGACCAAACCTCTTCATACAGGTCAATCTGACACTGTGGTGCCGATATGACGTCTATCAACTTCAGCCATTGTTCTGCATTTGCCACGAGTCCTCAAGGCTGCAAGAGACGCAGGACCTCTTATCTATCCTCTCTGAATAAAGTTAATCTTCCCTGGCTCATAGAGGACTTTATAATTTTAAAAGTTTAAATAATCACGTTGTTGAATGAACATGTTTAAATCCAGCGTTTTAATGATTGTCCAATACTCTACATTAATGAATGATAACATGAATATTTTTTCCTGTAATGATTTATTTCAGATCTTAAATTACACCAGATCAGTAATTGTTGATTTTAAGAATTTAATCTTTCATTAAATTCACACCTCATAATATTATTATTATATTATTAATATTTTTACTTCACACTAGGAATAACTTCTAAGTATCTGAGTGAAGGAGGGATTTCCAGAGGTATATTGGTAACACCTTTTAAACTCGTCAAATTCTGATTTGTCTAAATTTGTCAACAGCAGCTAATAAAGGCTAGGTTACTTCCTGATCTAGCCAGTTTTCTGCCGCCTCCCGGTTCGGCCGACCGGGTTAACAAAGCATTTGGGACCTCTCTTTTGACCTCAAGGTCAAAGCCTCTCAGCAACACTTCAATCAATCAATCAATCAATCAAAGCTTTATTTATAAAGCGCCTTCCGCGACACTGTCGGGAAGCCCAAGGCGCTGAACATGGCACATGAGAAAAGTTAAATATGATGAATAAATTGAAAATAAAAGCAATTCAAATATTACAAAAAAGGTAAACATTCTAGTAGAAGACAAATGGGTAACACAAGGGATTGAGAGAACCAATGAAAACAGGGAAATAAAGTCAACATAAAAGAGGGCCAAATTCAAACACGTTCAGGGAACGCCAAGCGGAGGAGGTGGGTTTTAAGGCGACTCTTAAAGACTGGCAGAGATGGGGACAGCCTAACTGAGGGTGGCAACTGTTCCAGAGTGACGGTGCTAGAACTGAGAAAGCCCGGTCCCCGCGAGTACGGCACCTAGACCGAGGGACAGCGAGTAGGCCTTGGTCAGAGGAGCGCAGAGCGCGTGATGGGGAATGTCTGTTCAGGAGTGTGGCTAGATAGGGGGGAGCACCACCCTGGAAGAAATTGTAAACAAAGACGAGGATTTTAAAGTGTGAACGATAACAAACCAGAAGCCAGTGCAGGGAGGCCAGAACTGGACTGATGTGGTCCCGTTTCCTGGTCCCAGTCAGGAACCTGGCTGCGCTGTTCTGCACAACCTGTAGGCGACGCAGTGTTGACTGACACAACCCTGCATATAGAGAGTTGCAGTAATCAAGCCGAGAAATTACAAAAGCATGGAGTACCCGCTCCAGGTGGGCTCTTGACAGCATAGGCTTGATTTTTGCAAGGCCTCTCAGATGAAAAAAACTGGACCGGATCACAGAGTTGATGTGAGCATCAAATTTAAGTCCAGCGTCAATTTTCACCCCCAGACTGGTGACAACTGGTTTTGAATAGGGAGAAAGAGGCGAGTGGTGTCAGACGCTACAACACCTCAGACGTGGAACGTCTTAACTAGCAGACCCAGGTAGCATCTCATGGCCGGTGGCATCTGACCTCAAAGGAGCTGCGACTCTTTGAGGTTCCAGTAGCCTCTGCATCACCACCCTGGCTGCTGCTTCTCCGGATCTCCGAGAGCGACTGTCACACAATGAGTATCGTACACCTGCACACTGGTGTCGATGGGTTTATGAATAGTCTCTAGCTTGTTAAGCCACACAGACTGATTTTACAACCCAGATGTCAAGATATCTCGGATACTTGATGAGGTTTTGCTACAATCGTCTAGCTTCCATTCCATCATTTCATCCATACTTTGTCAAGTATAATTACTAGTTTAGAAAGGTAGAATTAAATTCATTTTATTAACTATATCCTTGACTGTCTGAATTAAAGAAACTATGGTAATATTAAATGAAATATTTAAAGACCAGTCAGATTGATAATTCATATTTATAAAGGATATCACATCTTATTGAATGTTTAATAATATGTAGCGACATCCATCACGCTAACCCTAAATGTATATAATTTCGTGGCTTGCTAAACCTGATCGTGTCTTCTGCTGGACATTTCTGGAAGTAGCAGAGGAAGACAGAACGTGTGGAACTGCATTTTCAGCATAACAGCAATTTAACATGAAAAACACGAGACATGCCTTTCATTTTCATGCAAAAACCAGTTGTTTGCTACATTTGACCTTTTTGTGTTTAACTCACACCCTATAGTTTTATTCTAAGTGCTGAAAATGTTTTTTTACAAATGTTTGTGGCTTTCAGTGCAATAAATTTGTAATTTTTTCTACTTGGATTTAGATTTTTTGTTTACTTTCAGGCTCTGTGTGCTAATACAGTGACAAATGAAGGAATGACTCTAAATTCACATTGGTGAGGTTGTGCTGGAAAGAATGATACCAAACAAGGCATAAACAATAAAATATACACTTCAATTTAAAGGTGAACACTAAAACTTGTCAAAACGGCTATTTATACCACCGACCAAGACAATTTAAACTGTTTCGAGCTGTGTGATTGGTTCTTTTTCTCTTTCTCAGCTTCCTATTGACGTTTTCAACAACTACTTCAGTCTGGGCTTTGATGCTCACGTCACGCTGGGTTTCCATGAATCCAGAGGTTGGTTCAACACATTGCTCCCATCAACAGTTTTGAGTAAACGCACCAGATTCTCTGTTTTGTGTGTTTAGAGGCAAATCCGGAGAAATTCAGCAGCCGTTTCAGGAACAAGATGTTCTATGCAGGAGTGAGTGTCTCATTTAACAGTCCTGTGTCTTCTGATGGTCAAGCTGCATGAAGACATGCATAAATATGTTTGTGTATATTCCAGACCGCCTTCTCCGACTTCCTGAGCGGGAGCTCTAAAGACCTTGCTAGGCACATCAGAGTGGTGGTGAGTGAAATGTGCACGAGAGTTTTGTTTGAAAGCTCTAAACGATTTTGTCAGGAGGGTCAGAGACATCTGAGGATCATCTGAGTAACTCAAGTTTAGTTTAGCCAGAAGATCAGAGCAAGATCTGGAGACCTGCTCAACTGCTGCTGGACACCTAGACACTAGTCTGCAGCCGGACGCGAGTGTGCAGCTAGACGCTGGTCTGCAGCCGGCCGCGAGTCTGCAGCCGGACACGAGTGTGCAGCCAGACACGAGTGTGCAGCTAGACGCTGGTCTTCAGCCGGACGCGAGTGCAGCCGGACACGAGTGTGCAGCTAGACGCTGGTCTGAGCCGGACGCGAGTCTGCAGCCGGACACGAGTGTGCAGCCGGACACGAGTGTGCAGCTAGACGCTGGTCTGCAGCCGGACGCGAGTCTGCAGCCGGACACGAGTGTGCAGCCGGACACGAGTGTGCAGCTAGACGCTGGTCTGCAGCCGGGCGCTTGTCTGCAGCCGGACGAGTCTGCAGCCGGAAGCGAGTGTGCAGCCGGACGCTGGTCTGCAGCTGGACACAAGTGTGCAGCTAGACGCTGGTCTGCAGCCGGACGCGGGTCTGCAGCTAGACGCTGGTCTGCAGCCAGGCGAGTCTGCAGCCGGACGCTGGTCTGCAGCTAGACACTGGTCTGCAGCTAGACACTGGTCTGCAGCTAGACACTGGTCTGCAGCTAGACACTGGTCTGCAGCTAGACACTGGTCTGCAGCCGGACGCGAGTCTGCAGCTAGACACTGGTCTGCAGCCGGACGCGAGTCTGCAGCTGGACACGAGTGTGCAGCTAGACGCTGGTCTGCAGCCGGACGCTGGTCTGCAGCTAGACACTGGTCTGCAGCTAGACACTGGTCTGCAGCCGGACGCAGGTCTGCAGCTGGACACAAGTCACTCCAGGCTGTCCTGTAGATCCATGAAGATCTGTTCATGCTCAAAGAAAAGCTCAAGTCTTAATTGCCTAAAGTTGATGGCAAAGCCATTTGAAGCAAGCACCGTTCCTGAGCCGACTCTTGAGCTGGTGGATTAATTGATTACAAATCTCAATTACAATTTGGGTTTTGAACGATAATGAAAACAAAATGAGCTGGTTATTAGCTCCTCCCTTGTGGTTTACTCTGAGTTGCACCTCCCACACAGTGCTGTCAACTCAGCAACTGATGCTCTGTTCTGAGATGCAGAAGTTTGCTGGTGCAGAGCTGGGCTGAAAACAGCAGGGTTACTTATTATTATTATTAATGAGTTGCAAGCCCCTCACTTCCGATTGGCTAACAGGACGCATTCAGTCATGTTGTAAAGTCATTATCACCAAGACACACTGCACTTTCTCTCCTCCTTGCATTTTTTTAAAGCATTCCTGTGGGCGGGCGAGAGCCATGAATGTTAAGTGACAGTGTGACGTAGATCTGTCAGGCTTTTCTAATCCTAGAGTTTCACCGTCTGTTTTTTATCAGAAGCTAATGCAGGATAGGTGTAGGAGACTATTTTCATGTTCCGCCTGCATGAAACGCAGTGACCCATCAGAGTCAGAAATAATCATTAAAATTTGTTTTTTCAGTCACCCACACCTCAAATGTTAAATTTCTGTCAAAATAATCATGATAATAATTTTTGCCACGATGGAGCAGCCCTAGCCGATGCCATTTTTGTTTTATCTATTGCAGCTCTAGCATTAAGACCGCTCAACAAACATAGAGCACTATGATTGGCCAGACACAAAACTGTTTGGGCCAATGGTAGACCTGCTGAGGCTAGAGCTTTTGCTACGGTCAGTCTAGATTTCTAGACTAGCAAAAACCTGATTTTGAAAGTAGCATTACATAATGTACTCTGATTACTTTGTATGTCCTGTGACTCAGCCTGTTAACCCCCTCCCCCCTCCCCAGTGTGATGACACAGACCTGACAGCCAAAGTCCAGGAGATGAAGCTCCAGTGCCTCCTCTTCCTCAATATTCCCAGGTAAGCAGTTTTCCGTTTCCTGTTTTTAACAGGAAACAGATCCAGGTTTTTTTGTCTTCATGAAGCTTCTCTTTGCAATTCTCAGACTTCCTCAGTCCATCTAAGCTCTGGTGGTTTTCCTACTGCAGGTACTGTGCCGGTACCACACCGTGGGGTAATCCCAGTGAGCACCAGGACTTTGAACCTCAGCGTCACGATGATGGCTGCATCGAGGTCATCGGCTTCACCATGACCTCTCTGGTGAGGTCATGGCTATCAAGTCTATTATAGGTCTTGGTGGAACCTGCTGGGATTGGTGTTCAAGTTCAAGTTAATTTATATAGCGCCAAATCCCGACAAGAGTCGTCTCAAGGCACTTCACATAATAAAACATTCCAATACAGGTCAGTTCATTAAGCCAATCAGAAAAATGTTTCCTATATAAGGAACCCAGCAGGTTGCATCAAGTCACTGACTAGTGTCAGAGTCTTTACAGCAATCCTAAGCAAGCATATAGCAACAGTGGAGAGGAAAACTCCCTTTTAACAGGAAGCAACCTCCAGAGGATCCTGGCTCAGTATAAGCAGCCATCTGCCACGACTCACTGGGGATCGAGTTCAGTGTTCCAACATGATGAGGGGCCTCATTTATGAAACTTTATATAGAATCCTGACAAACACTTCAAAGCTCAACAAAAAAGAAACAATCCAACCTCTCAAACTCAGCAGGTATAAACCACACCTGACCTGGAAATCAGCTCAGGTGTTTCTGGACCGCATCCCGCTGCCTACACACACTTTCAGCAGCTGCTGCAGAGCATGTGGATGAAGATGTGCTTGTAAAGAGCACGGGGTTATATTGGTTATATGGACCAGGGGCCTCATTTATCAAGCTTGCTTACGCACAAAATGGGGTCGGAAAACTGCGTAAGCAACTTTCCACGCAAACTTTGGGATTTATCAAAGACAACTTAGTGGAAAAACGTGCGCAACTTTAAGTTGACCAAGGACCTGGCTTACGCACATTTTGGACATGGAGAACACCTGCAGTGCTGCTGCTGAGAAGGATAAAATTATGAAATCCTGCAGCATTATCACTTCTACTGCTTCGTTTTATCACAGAACAAGACCCCCACACGCACACACACTCGTACGCACACTCACACACTCAGCCTGAAGCGCAGAATACGGAATGCAGAATATCAGTAGGGGGACAGATTGAGACAGAATGTCATGCGTCTGTGAGTGTGTGTCCTGTCATTGTGATCCGACTGATCATGCGCCCTGGCTACTTTTACAGGGGAGATCTCCGTTTGGCTGACTGGTTAGCGTGCGCGACTTTCACCCGGGAGTCTGGGGATCGAATCCCGATTGGACCATTTTTTTAATATCTGCCACAGATCTCTCTGAGGAATTCACAACATTGACGGCTTCAGCAACGCTGTGCCACTCCGTGGATTTTCTCTTATTTGTTTTGCAAAAGTACTTCCTTTCATTTCTCCACCTCACCCACAGGGACCTCAATTTCTGCTTCTGTGAAATTGCGCTTCCTTGATCTGCCTTGATCTACGGTCGCCATGTCATTGGCGGAGCGCTGCAACAGCCGGCTTACGTATATGCATGAGATCCACAAGGCACTTTGCATTGACTATTTATGGCAGTAAGTGGGCGTGGTGAGGGCGGGATGTGACTAAAATGCAGCTGAGAAACATTCTCGTTAGTCTCTGATTTATGAAGCGGAGGTTGCGTGCAGCTGTGCGTACTCCATGTCTGACAGATCACAAACCTACTTGGCGTGAGTACATTTTTTTGCTGAGCTTCAGTACGGTTTTAGTAAGGATTCTACGCAATGTTTGATACATGAGACCCCTGGTTTGGTGATGCTGAGCAGATAAACACCCTCAGTAAAACATCCTGAGTGAGAGTGAAGTTGTACCAGCACTAACAGCTCTTTAATGCCGAGGCCCCCAAATACCGTTTGATTCTTTAACACACAATGATTTCAAATGTTTCGGACATCTTTTGTGATTTAGTTTGAACAAGGTAAAAAACAATATATTTTATTCACCAGAATAATTCTCAGTTCAGAGTCTGAAAGTCTGAAAATGTGTCCGAAATTAAAACTGATCCTGTCCCACCGACTGCGCTGCCTAAAATGTGCTCACGCAGCTCCAAAGTTTGTTTCCACATTTTTCCATCCAGTTTTTTATGAGTCACTTGTGCAGTCTTCAGACCTGTTTTGTGTGTAAGCAGCTTTAGAAATGAGAACAGACACTAGTGTGACCTCTGACCTCTGTTCTGGTTTCTGTGTGCAGGCCACGCTGCAGGTGGGAGGTCACGGCGAGCGACTTCACCAGTGTAAGGAGGTGACCCTCACTACCTTTAAGTCCATCCCCATGCAGGTGGACGGTGAACCCTGCAAGCTGGCGCCGTCAGTCATCCACATCAGCCTCCGGAACCAGGCCAACATGGTTCAGAAGGCGAAGCGGAGGATCAACATGCCCCACCTGAATGAGTATAGCCTCTTTTATTAAACAATACCGCCAATTTGCCACAAAGCTGTGGCAGCATCAGGCAGCATTTGGTTGTTCATAAGTGGTCAGACTTTGGGGGTAATAAGGTGCGATCATGTGCTTTCCACAAAAGAATACACATTGTTGGTATAAAGGGGCTGTGGGGGCGGTCTCTGCTACTACTACCACTACTACTAAACTTAATTTATATAGCGCCTTCACATGGCCCAAGGACCAAACAAAGTGCTGCACAGCAGAAATAAACATAAAAAATAAAAACATATAAAACCATTTAAAAACCAACAAAAACATGTAGAAAAAAATCTAGGTGGGGCAGCAAAAAAGTGCAAAGCCATCCGTTAACGAGGCTCTTCTTGAATATAAGCTAAAGAATAAAAGTGTGTTTTCAGCTGGCTCTTAAACTGCCGAGCGTGGTGGCCTGTTTAACACATGTAGGTAGCTCATTCCAGAGCCTCGGCCCCAGCACCGAGAAAGCACGACCCCCTCGAGATTGTAGTCTGTGTTTAGGAACGACCAACAGTCCTTGTTGTGCTGACCGAAGGTTCCTTGCGGGAACATAAGGATGGATCAGATCCGATAGATAACGTGGAGCCAACTCATTTAAACATTTAAAAACAAACACCAGAACTTTAAACGAAATTCTAAAAGAGACTGGAAGCCAGTGTTGATTTAGGTATGTGCTGCCCCCTATCGCCGGGAAAATACACATCTTCACTTTAAGGTTTTTGGACATGTTGCTCCTAAAGGCATCTGTCCTCCACGGTCCCTGTGAACTGTCAGCTCCAGCACTAATGGACAGAAGCTCCTGGAGCTTTACATCGCTCCAGTTTATCATCCCAGCTGATTTTGTTTACAAAAGAGAAACGCATCAAACAATCAATCAAACTTTATTTATAAAGCGCTTTTCCTACAAAAAGTGCCACTCAAAGGGCTTTACAGATTAAAATGTTCCTACATAACCCACATTGCTATCCCTCCCACACCAATTAAAAGCATTGGCACAGTCATAACAAATTACTTTGGGCAGAGTTAAGATGATCCAGATATGTTAGTGCAAGGAAAAACCATCACAGGAGCCATCTGCTCCAGCAGCATCAGGCCAACTGAAGCAGCAGAAGCACCAACACTGGGTGCAAAGGGGATGGAGGGCATAGGCCACCCTTCCACCCAAGCACTACCCAGAGAATATCCAGGCAGCAACAGTCGACCACCGCCCCCCGAGGCAGAGGGGTCCCCACGGAGGAAAACACTGGAAGAAAGATTAATATAAGGCAAAATATCAAATAACAGGAGCTAATATAATAGTAAATATAAGCAAATTAATAATTTGTTTAAATGAAATAAATATCCTGGACGCCTCCCCGGGGAGGTGTTTCGGGCATGTCCTGCCGGCAGAAGGCCCCCGGGTCGACCCAGGACACGTTGGAGAGGTTACATCTCCAATCTGGTCCGGGAACGCCTTGGGGTCCTGCCGGAGGAGCTGGTGGACAAGGCCGGGGAGCTCCCTAATTGGGATGCTGCCCCCGCGACCCGGACCCGGATAAGCGGAGGAAGACGAAGACGAAATAAATATTAAAATAATAGCAATGTAAAATAAAATGGTGATAAAATTGAATCATTAAAAATATGCAAAGTAAATAATCTTCCAAAAGTAATAATCAATTAAAAGCTAAGATTTAATAATTAATGAAAATGCAATAAATATTAAAATAATATAGATATAGAATAAAACAGTGATAAAATGTAATTAATTAAAATATGCATGCAAAGCAAGTAATCTACTATAATAATCAATTAAAAGCTAAGCTAAAAAAGGTGGGTCTTGAGCCTGCTCTTAAAAACATGGACGTTCTCGGTGGCCCTGAGGTCCTCTGGCAGCCTATTCCAGTGGCGAGGGCCATAATACTGGAAGGACGCGTCGCCTTCCATTAAAATAACCTTTAAATCGATCCTGAGCCAAAGCAGTGATTCTAAGACTGGTGTAATATGTTCCCGCCTCCTGGTCACGTGCTGCAGGGCTTTGTAAAAGTTGTAAGCCTGAGATGCTCTTTTTGGGAAGACCAGAAAGCAGGGCATTACAGTAGTCGATTCTACTGGTGATAAAAGCATGCATCAGCATCTCCGTATTGGCCCGAGAGAGAATAGGGTGGACTCTGGCGATGTTCTTTAGATGATAATAACCTATTTTTGTGATGTTTCTAATGTGAGGGATAAAAGTCAGCTCAGAGTCAAAAATCACACCCAGGTTCTTCACTTACTCAGAAGGATTAAATGACTGAGATTGTAGTTTTGGTAAAGTGTCTCTCTCTGGACCTCAGGACCAATTACTAAAACTTCAGATTTGTCCTGGCTGAGCTGGAGAAGGTTTTCTGCCATCCAGGATTTGATGTCTAAAATGCAGTTAAAAAGTTTGTCCATTGGCTATGTGTCATCAGGAGACACGGAGATGTACAACTGTGTATCATCGGCATAACTGTGAAAGTTCACTCCATGTCTCCTGATGACACTGCCAAGAGGGAGCATATAAAGGTTAAAAAGAACTGGGCCTAAAATTGAACCCTGGGGCACACCACATGTAATCCCATGGACCCTAGAGGACCAGGTATCTAAACTCGCCCGTGTTTACTTTCATTTTCAGTGTTCTTATTGTTGCCTGCTTGAGCTCAGTGGTAATTCCACCTGTGATTATGACATCACCCTCTGTTGCACCAAGGTGTAATCATTCACAAGCCTGGTGTTGCGGTAATATTACTACCAAACTTAGCGGCATGAAAGCTACAAAATTCTTGCATTGCCATGCCCCCATGGTGCTTTGTAAGACACACCGTGATGGCAGTATTATGCTGATTTGCCTTATAAAAGCGGCTTAAGGCTCACTAATGTTGTCTGATTGTAAGAGTGAGGGGCGCCTCAGAGTTCTGTTCTTGGCCATTTCTAATGTCTAGAATTGGTTTGTCCAGTGTAGGTTAAAATAAAAATAGACTAGGGGTCATGACGGGTATTGCGCCTCAAGAAAAAAAATCATAAAGCGCTTCGCTACAAACAATAAAAAAAAAATTCTAAAATTCTTTAAAAAGATTTTAATAAGTTGGAAAAATTAAGTTGTGTGTGTGTGTGCATGTGTGTGTGTGTGCAGCCAGCAGCTGGTTCCTGAAAAGCTGCAGATCAGGGTGAACCGGATCAGCATGGCAGCCTACGAAGCTCTGCATTATGATCAGGACCAGCTGAAGGAGGCCTGTGAGTTCTAACAAGAACCTGTCTTAACACTCATCGGTTCCATTGGTTCTGTGTCATGAAGGTCTAGTAAAAATCAGACTAAAAGTTCTGCTTTGATCCAGTCCAGTTCAACGTAGATTTAAACGAAGCAACCAAAAAGCAGCTTGTTCTTGTTTGTTTTGATGAACATTCATGTGAAGCATCAGAACATGCATTTGACCTACAAGTGTGTTTGCAGCAACCCTACTCGGGGTCATCCACGTCCCTGGAGACAGCGACCTGGAGATGTGTCGCCAGCACGTCCAGCACCTGCAGGACCAGCTGGACCAGGTCAAGTGCTGAAAAGCTGTTCTCTACTTAAACATGATCGGAGTAAATTTTCAATGATGTGACAGTTCGGGCTGAACCAGCTATTGTTTTGGATAGTTTAGTTTGACCCTTTTCAACTGAGATTTCAAACAACATGATGGGTTATTTGTAGTGCTCTTGACTGACCTGGATCTGTTGTGGCAGCTATTTTAGACATCTGGGGTTTTTCCTGTTATGGCAGCAGCAGCAGCAAGTGCAGGGGAGGGCGGTACCGGTACCACAGCTGAGCCCAGTCGTTCAGCTGACAGAGCTGCACATTTTCCCTACATAGCACCACTAGAGCTGATAATGGCTGTGGCCTTTTGTCTCTGGCGTGAATGCCGTCTCTCAGCATCGTGGGTGAGTGAGGAACAGAGAGACGTCTCCAGTTGACCATAATACTTAGTGGACTTGAAAGCGCAACTTCTCTTTAAACGGTTTGTTTTTGTGGCTCACAATAATTCAAACAAGTATGTTAAATGTGAGCGAGTGGTGTTTTAGTGAGAAAAAGAGACGGCTCAGAAAAACGTCCAGGTAGCCTGCCTTGGTAAATAATGCTGGGAAAAATTCTGTATGCATTTTTTATATTAATAATTACATTTGAAAACTATTTTATTTTTGCATAAAGTAGAGCAAGTAGAACATTTTCAAAGCACCTCTCTAGATAAAACTCTGAAGTTGCACATAAAAAATAAAGATAATAATGGGAGAAAAAATATTTTTATTGTATGATTGTATATATTATATATATTATACTGTATTGTGAATAATGTGTTGAACCTTGATCTGAAGAAAATTGTGAATTGTACTGAAATCTCAATTTTCACCTAGAAAAATCGCAATTGAGTCTTTTCCTAAAATCATTCAGCCCTAATGACAGTAAGCATGAAATAAAATACCTTCGCAAACACAATCATCTGATGTGTTTGCACACAAATGTTGACCAACATTGTCGTGCTTTTATGGCAGAAGGGGTTCCACAGGGTCATTTCTCTTGCCCTTTGCTGTTTTCATGCAGAATCACCATTTTAGTCTCATTTCTAGTTTTAGGCACTTTGCTTTCAAACTCACTGTTTAAATATAAAAACTTTATTGATATAATGTGAATTTTGTAGTTGCAATCTGTCAAATACCTAATTGGATGTAAAACTTTTATAGATCAGAAGCGTTTTTTGTAGACGAAACCATGAATCTGGAGTGTGCAGGCGTATATACCCAGGTTCTGTTTTACTTTTGACAGTTTGGCTCCATTTGGGTTCAGAAGAACCGCTTTTTATGCTTCATCTGATTTTATTTCTGCAGGAAAGAGACGGGCTGAGAGCTGAGAGTCCGTCTTTACAGAAACTGTCCCTAAACTGGTGTTTCCTTGACTGTAAGTCCAGTCTGTCGTAAGAGTCTGGGTCCAACAAAGGTTCTGACCAGGTTCTGGTTTCTTTTTTCTTTCAGGTACTACTGCGGACCGTTTTTACCGGATTGACCGAGCTCAGGTATAATTCAGATCTGAGGTCAGAATCTCAATCTGTAAACTGACTGGGTCTACAACAGAAAGTATTAAAACCAGTGTGGTGTTGATGGTGGAGTTCTGTCTCCAAACCAAACTAAAGCATCTCAATTCTTCATCAGTTAGAGACGTTTGAAAGATGTTTGTGCTTTTATTTTAGGAACATTCATGTTTCCATCACACCTTCTGGAAACTTTCTAGCCCTGACCTGGTTCACAACAGAACCTAGTCAGACCCTAGTTTAGTCTTTGGGATCGCCTGACTCACTCAGATGCTTTGGTTCTGGTTTAGAAGGTTTTGTCTGATCAGTAACCCTTTGACCTTCAGGAGCATCTGAACTATGTGACAGAGATCTCTCAGGAGGAGCTCTACATCCTGGACCCAGAGTTGGTCGTCAAGGAGACGGTGTGCACGTCCTCCAGCATCCTAAAGCCGGTGGACTCTGAGGAGCACCAGCAGCCATCGGGCCAGTTCTCCTTCCCCTGCTCATCGTCCTCCCCCACCTCCTCCAGGTGAGACAGTCCAAGGAGGGAGTTTTCCTCTCCACTGTCACTGCGTACTTGCTAAGTATGAGGATTGCTGTAAAGACTCTGACACTAGTCAGTGACTCGATGCAACCTGCTGGTTTCCTAATATAGGAAACTTACTGATTGGCTTAATGACCTGGGGTCTCATTTATTAAACATTGCGTAGAATCCTTACTAAATCCGTACTGAAGCTCAGCAAAAAAAATGTACTTACGCCAAGTAGGTTTGTGATCTGTCAAACATGGAGTACGCACAGCTGCACGCAATCTCCGCTTCATAAATCGGAGACTAACGAGAATGTTTCTCAGCTGCATTTTAGTCACATCCCGCCCTCACCACGTCCACTTACTGCCATAAATAGTCAATGCAGAGTGCCTTGTGGATGTCATGCATATACGTAAGCCGGCTGTTGCAGCGCTCCGCCAATGACATGGCAACCGTAGATCAAGGCAGAGCAATTTCACAGAAGCAGAAGTTGAGGTCCCTGTGGGTGAGGTGGAGAAATGAAAGAAAGTGCTTTTGCAAAACAAATAAGAGAAAATCCACGGAGTGGCACAGCGTTGCTGAAGCCGTCAATGTTGTGAATTCTTCAGAGAGATCTGTGGCGGATATAAAAATGGTCCAATCGGGAATCGATCCTCAGACCCCCAGGTGAAAGTCATGCACGCTAACCAGTCTGCCAACAGGAGATCTCCTCTGTACAAGTAGCCAGGGCGCATGATCAGTCGGGTCACAGTAACAGAACGCTTACACTGTCACAGAAGCATGACATTCTGTCTCAATCTGTCCCCCTGCATTTCATATTCTGCGCTTCAGGCTGTGTGCGCGCGCGTGTGTGTGTGTGTGTGCGCGTGTGGGGGGTCTTGTTCTGGGTGAAAACGAAGCAGTAAAGTGATAATGCTGCAGGATTTCATAATTTTATCCTTCTCAGCAGCAGCACTGCAGGTGCTCTCCATGTCCAACATGTGCGTAAACCAGGTCCTTAGTCAAAGTTGCTCACATTTTTCCGATAAGTTTTCTTTCATAAATCCCAAAGTTTGCTTGGAAAGTTGCTTACGCAGTTTTCCGACCCCATTTTGTGCGTAAGCAAGCTTGATAAATGAGGCCCCTGACCCGTAGGGGAGTATTTACCATGTGAAGGTCCTTGAGATGATTCTGGTCCTGATTTGGTGCTTTATAAATAAACTGAACTGAAAAGATGACCCCAGATGACTTAGAATTACCCTTTTTGAAGTGTTTGTTTTAATCTTAGTTTTAGTCGACAAAGATTTTTGTTTTTAATTTTACAAAAACATGAAACAAATTATTATTCTCTAACAAATGCATGTATAGGTCAGACTCTGAGCTACTGGAGTGAGTTTCATACCAACATTGTTTATTTTATGGCTATGGGACACAATCTCAGCTGCGCCAGATTCTGTAAAGCAACAGTCCCCAGACTGGTATCATGTTTTTACTTCATTAATAATCACAATAGTGTATAATTTATTGACGCAGATCTGTGCATCATTCTGTAGATTTCCACTAAATACATTTATGATTTTATTTACTCAACAGAATGAACTCTTAGGAAGCGTACAGAGTATTCTACAAGATATTTATACAGAAATAAAGAAATTTGCTTGTTTAATTTGAGTTATCAGACCTCCATCTTTTTCCACAGACTGCGTCGTTGTGAGTTCTCACAGAGTTAATATAAAATCACCCAGTTCAGCTGTAGCGCATCAGCAGAGATGCTCATAAACATTTAGATGGGCTGAAACTGTGATGCTGTTGGGTTAAAAAGCAGAAATCTGACCCGTTGTTGGGATCCAGGGAGCAGAGACGATAATCTTGACACACTGACTTTAAAACGTCTTAAAACTGTTATTTCTTTCATTTATCTGCCCAAAAGCATGACTTTTTCAGGAAGCACACGGATAAGAAACATGTCAACATTACTGATATGTTTAAAAGTAACACCGTCATCACTCGTAGTAGCGTCGATGAGCGGCTGAGCGCTGCGTCTTCCCGCAGCGGGGAAGTGCTGAGCCGAGCTGAGTGAAGTTGGCTTCCCACCCACATCAGAAATCCATGCAAATAGAGCAGGGGTGTCAAACTCATTTTAGCCCAGGGGCCACATTGAGGGAAATCTAGTCCCACGTGGGCCGGACCGGTAAATTAAAAACAACTTCAGATTGTTTTCTTTGTTTTAATACAATCAATATAAAACAAGGCTGGAGCCCGAGGACAGTGTATCAAAAATAGTACAAGTACAACACCTGAAGTGTACTTGAAATTTGGAAAAAAATAAAAACATTCCTTGGTGATTCAAAGAGCTTACAGATCACATGGCAAGATCAGTTTCATGCAGCACTTAAAGTATATTTGACTCATTTTACTTTACATCTTTTAGCTTTCACCAGCACATCAACATCAGAAGTCACATCCTGAGTGGCGGCCATCTTCAGGATGTGATTCAAGTTCCTGTGTGAGCTTTGAGCGCAGCTTTGTTTTATTTATACTGATTACAGAGAAAACTTGCTCACAAAGATAAGTTTATTTTCACTCTACATTGTAAAGTATGAAAATAAAGTTTACACAACCATCTCGCGGGCCGGATTTAACCCGCTTGCGGGCCACATCCGGCCCGCGGTCCGCATATTTGACACCCCTGAAATAGTGATTCGGGCTCTCTGTGGGTGGGAGCCAGCTTCACTCAGCTGCTGAGGCTGGTCTGTGAGCAGAATTACGCTTCAGCTGAAGCAGACAGCAGCTGTTACTTTTAACTTTAGAGAGACGGGCAGAAACGTGTATTTTGAACAGTTTTCGTCTAGTCTCGGCTCGTTAACGAAAACTCTCATTTGTCTCGTCACGTTTTAGTCACCAAAGAGCTGATGTTAGCTCGTCAGTGTCTCATTTTCTTTAATGAAAACAACACCCGTTTGAACCCCAAATTTGAGCTGTTGATGCTGTGTAGTTTGGATTTTTATTATTATTTTGGTGTAAATATTTACTCAGGACTTGTTCAGGTTGGTTTGGTGTCTGTGGGTCTTCCCAGACCAGGATCCTCTATGGGGTCCTGACTCCACCTTAAGGAAACGGTTTGCTGGTTTCAACCGAGCTGCAGCCAGCCGCGGACCAGATCAGAAAAAAAATCAACGCAGCTGATGAGGAACGGGTCTTTGTTCTAGTCTGTGATGCCGTTTCCTGTTTCTTGTTTTCTGACAGAACCTCTGCTACCTCACGGGATACAAAAGTAGGTAAGTCCGGTCTGTGATCCTGAGTCCTGAACCTGTTTGATCTGTTCTCTGGTCCAGATTTAGGTTGGAGGTTGACCTGCTGACCTGCCTCCACATTCAGCAGAGTGTCGCTTCCCAGGTTACCTCAGTCATTTATTTACTCTTACCGTTGCCCTGGATCCATTCAGGCAGTTCTGAGAGCCACCTGTGCTGAGTTTGAGTTTGGTCTAACAGGCCGTCATGTGGTGCGGCTCCATCAGCTGATCCTTGTTTGTTTTGTTATAGATGCAGAACTGATCAGCTGCATACGGACCGGGAACCTGAGCAGGGTGAGTGTGAGATAAAAGTTCAGGAGCCTCACGTATCAGCCGAAATGTTCCTAAACACCAGAAAACCTCAGACCACGTATAGGAACAGCATCTAGTGGTAGAACGGGGAACCGCACCATCGCAGGTCTCAAGTCATCCACTCATTATTTTTTATTTCAGTGAAAAACAGCTGAGTCACACGACTGGTGCCGAGTCACACGACTGGTGCTGAAACACCCGATGGGAATCTGTAGAATGAAGTGGTGTTTTTGTTACTCTTCTTGTTTTTACAATGTCTTAATCATTTTTAATAATTAGTATTAAGTTTTATTTAATTCTATTATATTTGTGTTCTTGTGAAACTCCTCGTGATGCTGCTTCAGACGCGTTCGATAAAAGAACGTTTCTATATTATTATAAAGGATCTGTCAGAGTTCCTCTGGAGGAAACGCGTCTCCGTGAGCGCTGACAGCAGATCCGTCTGGAGCGATGCTGGGATTTAGGATCCTTTGTGGAGCGACAGATAAACCGCACATATCCGATTCCAGTCCATGTTCTATTTTATTCCATAACCTTCTCCGCTCCCCATCACACAGGTGTTGCCATGGTAACCAGACTGAATGACAGCTGAGAGGCTGCACTCAGACATTTCCTAATAAAACTAAGTCCATCCAGAACGACTCCTTAAATGTAAATGAGAACCCGTTACTCTACGGTTTATCAGACTAAAGTGTTTATTTATCCCTGAGGGAACCTCTCCTCTGTCCCGACCGCCTAACCTAACGTGTTTGGTTCTTTTGCACTTCAGCAGAAAGGGTCTCCATCTCACAACGTTCTTTCTTTTCTCTGGGTAGAACGTAGGAATCCCTTAACAAGTAGGATGTAACGTGACCAAATATGGTTAATTGAGGGTGTTTCTGTGTGTAAATGACTGAGAACGGACACGAGCACCTGGGTAGCACAGGTGGGATTTATCATCAGACGAGTGCGAAGGAATGTGCGAACGAGAGGCCACCGCACGTTTCATAGATCAGGACTTTTACTGTTCTTCCAAACATTCCAGATTTTGTTCATAGGAACGAATTTTGGAATATTTCTATAAACATTTGATGAATGGGAGCCCTGATGTTTACCAGCAGCACTCTTGAGTTTTGGAGAAACCTGAAAGAGTTTCCTGTTTTAATCTGATGTTCCATTCATGTGCTGCAGTTCGGTCTGTGGGAAGCAGCTTGGTTCTGAAAGTGTTCTGACCCGGTGCCGTTTCTCCTGTAGCTGACCGAGCTCCACCAGCAGGGGGCGGACCTGCTGCTGCAGGATGCAGAAGGACACACGCTGCTACATCACTCTGTCCAGACCGGCAGTAAGGATATCGTCAGGTACCTCATCGACAACGGTGAGGAGCTCCACCAGCAGAACCCAGATGGGTTCATCTGGTCCATTTCTGATGGGTTGGGCTAGAACTGATGGGATTCATGCTTTAATCTGCTACGTTTCCATAGTAACTGGAAGTTTCACCATGTTTCAGCTCAGTAAGTCTGAGGAAAAAATGTTTTATTGTCTAGTTTGACTTCTGAGCAGTGATGTCTTCAACATGGCGTACTAGGTGGGGCACGAAAACGTAAAAGCAGACTTGTATTTATATGTTTGTGTGGACCTCCATTCACTTTCATTCATTTTAGTGACTCCACTATGCCTAACCCATACCCTAACTTAATTCACACCACAGCTTTAAAACCAAGTTTTAGGGGCTTTTCCTTCGTGAGGACCAGCTGGATGTCCCAACAGGTTCAAAATTCCTCCACGTTGCAGGATTAAACCCAATAAAGTGCCCCCACACACACACACACACACACACACACACGAGGAGCTCTCAGGTCAGATAAAATCTCCGTGGGCGAGTGTATTATAGCTAACTAATTTAATTTGACTTCATTAGGTCAGTTTAACACATAAAAATGGAGAACGTGACTCTGGCTAAATGAAGCTGCTTTCTGTACTGAATGATCCAAACTGGTTACGTTTAAAGCTGCATTCCTTAATTTGGAAAACAAATTAGCTTAAAACGTTATTTTTTTTCATGCCTCTTAACAACGTGCTAACGTAGCTTAGCTATAAATATATTGTGGAGATTTAAAAAATAATAATAAAACAATAAAGCGGCTCTCTCGTATTTGTCTAAAAACCAGACCGAAAGCAACCATTGGACAACCCGTTTGTCTCGCCGAACTGCAGCATTTCTGCACATCTCCGTGACCTACATTTTTGTGCACAGACTCATTTTTTCAGCAGAACACACAACCGGAAGTGAGACGTTTGGCCAAACCAGAAGTGAAATGTTCAGAAGGTCTGAGAAGAAGAAACAGCCGGCAGCTACTATCATTCGTAAAAAGAAAAACCAAATTTTGATTTCAACCAGCAGAAAACAGAAAACGTTTGGACTAACCAGAGTGAACATTGGCATCACGTCTCAACAATGGCGGCAGTCACATGGCCTGAAAACCGATGCTAAGGTTTGTGGTTTTCTTTTGGACAAATAATTCTTACGTATTACGTCTTAGAAACATAAAGGCTACGTTTTAATGTTTTTTGTTTTGTTTTTTTTTTTGGTTAGAAAGATTGAACTGGATTGTTTTGTTTCATACTTGTCCATGTCTATATTTGCACCTTCCTTTGTTAGCGCTAATAGCACACTATGCTAATGCTACATAAAAGAGATATGAACGTGAAACGTGACGTTATGAATAAACAACCGGTGACAAACAGATCAAGATCAACTTACTCATTCATGTCATTTCCCCGTTAATATCTTCACTTTTGGTTTTTAGTAACAAACTTGCAGCATCTTCAGCTGCACTTCTTCTTAGCATGAATAAAACAAAATGTGAGTGTAAATTTACGTCTGACACACGTTTTATATAATGTGTGCTTTTATGTCCCTATTTGTGTCAAGTTGCTGCATGTGAGAACATAAATGTCTACAGCTTTCTCCAGTTATTTAAATGTAATTTAAGTAAAACAGTGACTGCAAATCTCTGCTGTGAGGTTTAAATATTTATTTTAATAATTCTTCATCCATCCACAGGTGTACGGCAGAAGAAGGAACCACAGTAACACCCGTGAGATTCTCTAATGAAACCAACAGCAAACTAATTAAGGTAGAGAACAAAACTTTGGCTACATGAGGATTTACAAAAGTACCATAAACTTTTTTTATCGATAAGAAAATTTAATGAAATTTTTTATGTTATTTTCAATTTAATTTCATTTCCTTCTTTCTTATTTTAAAGGGGCATTATGGAAGTTTGACAGCCAAAACATGTATAGAAATAATAAATGTCTTCTTCATACATTCTCCTGCAATGCCCTGGTCCTGTAGAATGAGCCCTGGCATTTTTACTGTGATTGCCTGTTTTTCTGTAAATCACAGAAAAAGAGAGCTGCTCGGGTCAAGCAGGCGTTCACGCTCAGGCATAGCCCGTAGCATTTGCTATCCGTAGCTTTAGCAGCAGAGAGAGAGGTAATGCCACTTTGTCGCTGTTCCTAACACCACGTGAAACACCACATAGTGATTAGCTGGATCGATTTGCTACACGACCTGACAGCAGCTCTTTCTGGACTAAGCAGAGCTCACGAATAATGTGCTCATCTACATGGTGACCATCCAGCTTCCTGAAGAATCTTCTTCATGCTGAGGCTGCAGATCTTGGCCTGATTCTCCCTGGACAAGCTGGTGGAGGTCACTGGGCCCTGCGGGAGAAACTACATGAGGGCCAGGAGCAGGTGGAGACCTCACTGAGGAAAATCCTGCAACGAATGAAAGTTCTTGTTTACAACCTGTTAACTATACACATCCGCACAAGCTGGAGGGCAAGAAATTTGTCTCCAATCATTATCCAGAGCTGTATTTCTGTTATTTAAGCTAACAAAGTAAAACCGAGGGATTTAGATCCTACTACTTCTAATCATCCAACACATCTTTGTGCAGATGAACAAAGAATAAACATTTCAAAGCTAACTGTGTTTAGCACAAAGCTTCCAGGTACATTTGAAGTAGGGCTAATGAGCTGTGAGATGACAGTCCTCCTCAGAACCGGTCACCTGGACAATGAAGGTGTTCTTGTACGTGTTGCAGGTCGGTGCTGAAGGATCACCGAGACAACCTTCGTCTTTAAAGATGAACAGATACTTAATTTTGATGAGTAATGTAAACGTAAACAAAAACATGAAACTAATGACATTGAAGGCTGCCAATTACAACACATTATTGTAACAAGATTGTTACCGCGGGTCACACAGAACTACACACCACACCGGCGTTTTCATTTTCACACACGTTTATGTCTCAGGATTAATGTTGGGAATGTTACTTTTAAAAATTAATTAGTTATAGTTACTGATTACTTTGTCAAAAAAGTAACTCAGTTACTTACTGAGTTACAAGATTATAAAAGTAACTAATTACGCAGAAAAATAACTATTGTTACTTTTTTCATTAAAGAATACAAGAAAATAGGTTTCCCTCTTAATTAAACTTAATTTACTATAAATTACTACAATACTGAAATATAAATGACTAATGACTAAGTCCCCAATCAGCAAAAATTTATAATTGCTTGCTGAAGACAAAACTGAAGGGAAAATGCCCCAGGAACAAGCAGGAACTGAAAACTGTTGCAGTAGAGGCCTGGCAGAGCATCACCAGGGATGAAACCCAACGTCTGGTGATGTCTATGTGTTCCAGACTTCTTTGCAGTTAATTACAGCCTGGATTTGTATTGAGATGTATGAGTTTGATTTATGGTTCTTATTCTGTCCCATTACGTTTGGTCCCTTAACAAGTGGGAGGCACATATGCAAACTGTTGTAATTCCTACACCGTTCACCTGATTTGGATGTAAATACCCTCAAATAAAAGCGGACAGTCTGCAGTTAAAGCACATTTTGTTTGTTTCATTTGATATCCATTGTGGTGGTGTATAGAGCCAAAAATGTTAGCATTGTGTCGATGTCCCAATATTTATGGACCTGACTGTATGTGTTTTTTTTTTTTTGTATATTTCTGTATTTCAGGCGTACAAGTCCACAGCACGGAGCTTCTAAGGGATCCAACACAAAAAGTCTTCTCACTGCACACTAACCTGTTTTATTAGAAGCATTTAGGAGTTAGAGAATGTAGAATATTTTCATTTTAGCTTTTAAATAAAGACACTGAGTACTACGTAGATTGGACATTTTTCTTATGGATTTGGTTTAAACACGTCCACATTACTCTCCCAATGCGGAATGTCTGAGAAACTGTAGAGCTCTCAGCAAACACATTTGAGCACTTTTACTAATTATCTTTAAATAATGACTAAAAATGTAAAGAGTAATGACACTTCACCCAGTACAATTATATGTTGATCTATGGATGCTTTGAATGATTATTATTGTGGTGAAATCTCAACTGGAGAAGTGGAATTTGTATCCAACATACGTAACACATTATTTTTCACTAACAGTGAAATGGGTTCTGCACACCTGCACACGGGAAGAAAAGAACCTAAAATAATATAAACTCTTCAGCAAATCCTTTGTTGTAACTCAACGTGCACCTTGAACTGAAAGACTTTCTCCCAGAAGTCCTCTCACCTGATCTGTTGGTGTGGAGATGTTCCACGATCTCCTCCAGTTCTGCTCCTGGCTCTGGTTTCTGGATCAGACCCTGTGAGGCTCTCATCATGAACACTCTGATGTGGAAAAATAAAGAACCCATTTCACCACAAAACAAGAAGCAACAACAACATCTGACTGACAAAATCAGGAGTTGTTCTGTCAGATAGCTATTAGCAGTATTAGCTTATTTTTTCCTAATACTAGCAGGCTACCATGCTATTTATTACTGTTGAAGAAAATTATCCCTAAATAACCATTTTAAAACACACTTCGTTACCATACGAATATGTTAAAATAAATGATTTATGTTAAATGTTTAGACTGTTTATTTTTCCACTTACCGGTCATTCGGCCATATTGATTCACGTGAACTGCGACAGGTGTTCTGCTCTGTGTTGTTCACCGTGGCAGAGTGCGTTGACATATCCGGAGGGGCGCAGCCTAAGGGTTACACCCGACTGGAGGGGTGAGCGTTCTGGGACCGCGTGTGTGTAAGCTAGCTAGCTGGGCCTAGCTTGTTTCAACATTTGTTCCAGCACCTTTAAAGCTTCTGTAACTCTGCTGTTTCATGTGTTAAGCCTGATTCATGCTTCTCCGTCAGCTCCGCAAGGGACACACACGGATTGACGGAAGCATTTTGCTCTCATGCTTCTCCGTCTCCTGGAGAGTGTTGCAAAGCAATTCCCCGCCAGGACAAGAGGGCATAGTGCTGTTCTGTGGTATCCTGTCATGTATCGGTCAGAGATGGTGTGTTTATATTGGTTTTTTTTTGTATATAAGAGACTTTTTAACACAGACGAATTTGTCTCTCATTCTCCTCCACCTCTTCATGCGCTCGCCACCTCTAAACCCACATTTCCTGTCATTTCCATCTACAAATAAAACGCTTGCTGCGCATCTTTTCACTCCTCCAGTCATGGGGGAATTAAACGTTCATGTTTTTTCGCGAGGTATTCTTCAAGCAGCTCCGTGTCTGCTACTAGTTATCCTCGGCTCTCTTTGTTTTTGAGGGCGCAATGCCGGCGGTGTAGACGACAGCGGCGTCCTGACCAATCACAAGCTTGCATTGTCCGTCTCGACTGACGGATGTTTAGAAAAGAGAGCTTGATTCGGTTTGTCCTTGCGGAGCTCTCCGGCAGGCCCGCAAGGACGTTGCGTGTCTCCGCACTGACGCATACGGAGAAGCATGAATCAGGCTTAACTCCCCGTATTGTTCCCATGCTGCCTTTCAGGACCAGGTCTGACTGTATTAGGGATAACCAAACCCTAAAGTGTTTGTGTTCAGTTAATTATTCAGTTGTTTGTGTTCCCTTCAGTTCCCATGAGTCATTTGGACCTCACAGAGACTGAGACGTGAGTTCCTTTTGTCCTTATTTTTGTCCAAACTGAGTTCAGACTCCTCTCTAGTGATTCTTATGTGGTTTGTGTATTAGGGGCGAGACAGCACTCCACCAGGCCGCTGCCCTTGGTCTAAGGAGCATTTGTCACTTCCTGGTAGAAGCTGGTGCATCGCTCATGAAGACAGACTTGCAGGTAAACCAGGATGCACCTGGACAACTAACAAAACCATTTTTTCCACAAAGTCATGTCATGTTTTATGAGTTTAATAACAACAGTAGGTGTAAATGTGGGTGTAGGTGGACCCCACCAATGTTGGGAGTAACGGCGTTTAAGTATAACGGCGTTACTAACGGCTTTATTTTATGGATAACAGAAATTTAATGAGTGGCTTTTCCCATCATTACTACGCCATTACCGGGCCGGTTACTGTTAATTAGACTTTTATTTATCTGGTGTTTGTGCTTAGATTTTTAAGTTATCTCTTTAGATTTTACTAGTGTTTTCTCTGTGGGGACCAACTGACTCGGGAGAGGCGGTTGGCTGTGGCTGCCTGGCTGCCTCCTCCACCATGTGATGGTGCCCGGGCTGCTGCTGCTGATGCAGTAGGCTCCTTTTGACGGCATTTCCATCTTCTTTGTTGCCTATTGCATCAGTACTGAGCGTTGTCCTTTCACTTTACCTTTAAACTCATTCACTGCCAGCTGTTTCCTGATCAGAAAAGGTTTTCACTGTTTTTTAAGTCACAGAATGTTGCGCACTAGCATGATGTCAACGCCAAAAGTACCAAAACAGAGGAGATTCACCTCTTACATCAGGAAGAATCTGCACGTATTAGGGCTGCAACTAACGATTATTTTCATAATCGATTAATCTGTCGATTATTTTTTCGATTAATCGATTAATCGGTTTGTTATTGTTTAGCTATTTAACCTATACAAGTGATGGATGCATTTCAGTTAAGAAAAAAAAACATAAGAGAATTGTGCAGTTGACTGCAATCTATTTTATTGCACATGAACACAGTCAGCAGTATAAAATGAGCTAAACAGTGCAAAATATCAGTCCAGAATAATTTTTTAGCATTAGCTGGAAGCCTGCTCCTTCCACCATGGATAGTGGCCTCATGTCTTTTACCAGCATGTTTAGAATAGAGTTTGTAAGTGGTATGAATTGCTGGGGGGTGAGTGTCTCTTTCCCCATGTAGTTGTCCATCGTTGCTTGTTTTTTTTCTGCATAAGAAACACAAATAGACTGAAATAAGTACACATATAAAATAAAGCAGCACACACACTACAACACTAAATCAATATTATATTATTTGAATTAATTAACAATATACAGTGATCATTTATTTTGAGGGTTACGTTCTACAAAATAGCCCGCAACAGGAGATATTCAGAAAAAAAGTCTAATTTTTTTACTATTAAAAAGCTCTAAGTAAGAAGCTCATAAGGTTTTTACTTTGAGTCGGGAGTGTTTAAATTAGCTAGAAAAATGTGAAAAATGATTATTTTGTGTAATACTGTTTAAGAAACATGATAAAAATGTGTTGTGAGGCGTTTTACAGCGTTAGATAGTAAAACAGCCTTTTAATAGTAAAAAAATGACTTTTTCTGAATTTCTCCTGTATTTAAAAATTGAAAGCGTACAACTATGCCGCGTTATATTTACCTGGACACAGCTCGTCTGTATATTTTTCACCGCGGAGTTATCCTTTTTTGAATGAGGAACATAGTTATGGGTTTGTGCCGTTTTTCTCTTAACTAGAACATTCTTATAAACAGACGTGCTAAATTTGGCAAGCGCATGATTCACAACACGGAGGAGATTCACGATTGCATCTAGTCAATCAGAAGTAGAACACCGTAGACTGACGCGGCAAAAAAACATGTTTAACATCCACTATAACGAACTCAGCTAAAACACTAAGTCCAGCTTGTTTATTTTCTGTTACTTACCGGGCTGGCTCTTCCAAATGACGGCTCACTTGACCGCGGTGCTCTTCCTCAGCCCCCACGTTTTCGTCTCAAATGTTCACTTAGGGACGTCGTGCTTCCGTGCCATGCTAGATGGTTTTTGCATATTTTGCCTTTTCAATGCATCTAGTGAAGTGCTCCCATACTCGTGAGGTTTTTGTCCGGGGTTTCTCTAAAATTTTGTCGCTTCTATTTTTCTTCCGTATTTCCTCTTGTTCCGCCATCTCTCACAGCAAGATGAGCGTCAGTAACGTGATACGTCATGAAAACCGAGGGCACTCATTGGCTCATTTCTTCTTCTACGGCTCCACTGGTAGATCAGTGGCTCATTACTGCCACACACTGGCGGCAAATTTAACAGCTTGTAACCGATGTCAGATTGTGGTAAAAATAGACTTTATGCGGTAAAATATGATTATTAAACAACTAATCGATGACTAAAAAAGTTGTTAACTATTTTAATAATCGATTATAATCGATTAAATCGATTAGTTGTTTCAGCTCTAGCACGTATCGAGCATTATCCGTTCTTTCATAATCCGTTGTTTAATTGTGATCAGCAGAAGCTTTTCCGGTTCGCGCCCCACAGCAGCGGCCCAAAACGATCTCCTAACACATGGATTTTCTGGTCCCTGATCACGTGACGTGTGACATATGCGGATGAAGATTGGCTTTAGAGCTGGGATGTTTGTTCTCATGGTGTGGGGGCCCGTTCCGACACCCACACAGCAAAAAAAAATGTAAATGAATTTAGTCGTCATTTACATTTTTTTGTGGAGGGAGGGAGATATTAAAGGGATGTTGATCTGTGGGTAGAGGTGGGAAATTGACATTTGTGTGATTGTTTTTAATATTGTACAGCGGTTTGAGCTGTACTCGTTGCATGAAAAGTTCTTTATAAATAAAATTTGATTTATTGAGCCCGCTGCCATTACTGGGCGTGCTGCCGTTACTACTGGGCCCGCTGCAGTTACTGGGCGTGCTGCCGTTACTACTGGGCCCGCTGCAGTTACTGGGCGTGCTGCCGTTACTGGGGAAGCTGCCGTTACTGGGCGCGCTGCCGTTACTACTGGGCCCGCTGCAGTTACTGGGCGTGCTGCCGTTACTGGGGACGCTGCCGTTACTGGGCATGTCTCTGGCTCCTCCTTGGAGGTGCCAGAGTGAAACTGTATCCGCACCCCCCACCTTACCTCAAGCCAACACACACACGTACGTCTACTCCCCCACTTATCCAGATCTGAGCTAACATCAGAATTTAATCACAGCCATGCCCCATCCAGGCTTCTGCAATAGCTGAGCTGAGCTAAAAGAAAGAAGCAACTGAGACAGGAAAATGTATGCGTGAAACCAAAAACCTCTTTGGGGTGTTTTTCATGAGGGAACAACAATAAACCTGGTCACAAGCTTCAAAAGTGGGTTTTGTTTGTACAAAGTGTCTTCCTCGAGTTTGAGTCACTCACAGTTAAGTACACCTTTATGAAAGTTACAGACCTCTCATATTTTTAAGTGAGGTCACTTACACAATCACCAAATTACTTTGCCTAGCTGTAAATACAGTATATATATTCATAAATACAGTATATATATTTAAATTTCGGGTTTAGTTCTGGTAGGATGGCGGCCACTAGCCAATCTGTGCTACAAAACTCTAAACAGATCCCAGCAGAATCTGACCCACTTGTATATAGTGATTAATGTTGTGTGTCAGTGAGAAGCGGAACGCTGCAGGATTCCTTGGAATTGCTCTGGAATACACAAAGACCATGGGTCTCTGTCACCATGGTGAAGCTGTAGGAAACAGGAAGCAGCTACAGATCTGAAGATTCTCTTCTCTTAAAATAATGAGTTCATGTGTTAAGAATCTAGAGCTGGTGCCAGTCCAAGAACCACCACAGGTTTCTGATCCCAGAACCAGGACTTTCCTCTCCATCCATCTTTCACCCATCCATTAATTTTATTTTTGATTTATAAGCAGTGGCTGCACACTGGTGCAGTGGTTAGCGCTGTTGCTTTGCAGCAAGAAGGTCCTGGGTTCAAATCCTGACCTGGGGTCTTTCAGCATGGAGTTTGCATGTTCTCCCTGTGCACATGTGGGTTCTCTCCGGGTGCTCCAGCTTTCTCCCACAGTCCAAAAACATGACTGTTACCATACCATGTTTATTTATAAAGCATATTTAAAAACCGCATGACAGCTGACCAGCTGTACAGTATTAAAAATAAAAGACAAGATGAAAATTCAGATAAGAGATTACAATTTTTTAATAAGTTGGAGCTGCCCCTGTGTGAGCTTGAAAAGCAAAAACTAGCACCTTCATTGTTATACAGTAACTAACAGTTAGCCACCTCAGATCCCTCAGGATTGGACATGTATGCTCTCATTTCATTATCACATAAATAAAGTGGGCTGCAGTATTCTGCACCTTGGTAGTGTCGCCTAGACAACACAAAAGCGTGCATCACAGTCTCTAAAGCCCAGATCACACTGTGATTTTTGGCTGTCGAACAGGATTGTTCGTGTCACACTGAGAATTCCAGAAAGGTAGCACACTGTACGACACCTTGTTACCACTGTGCAGGCTGGTGGTGGTGGTGTAATGGTGTGGGGGATGTTTTCTTGGCACACTTTAGGCCCCTTAGTGCCAATTGGGCATGGTTTAAATGCCACAGGCTACCTGAGCATTGTTTCTGACCACGTCCATCCCTTCATGACCACCATGTACCATCCACTGATGGCTACTTCCAGCAGGATAATGTACCATGTCATAAAGCTCCAATCATTTCAAATTGGTTTCTTGAACATGACGATGAGTTCACTGTACTACAACGGCCCCCACAGTCACCAGATCTCAACCCGATAGAGCATCTTTGGGATGTGGTGGAACGGGAGCTTCATGCCCTGAATGTGCATCCAACACATCTCCATCAGCTGCAAGATGCTATCCTATCAATATGGGCCAACATTTCTAAAGAATGCTTTCAGCACCTTAAAATTAAGGCAGTTCTGGAGGAGAAAGGGGGTCAAACACCTTATTAGTGTGGTGTTCCTGATAATCCTGTAGTTGAGTGTATGTGATAAGAGACATTATGATAAGAATCAAGTATCTGTCCAAGAGGGTGTATGTACAGCAGAAACAACAGTGGACCCAAAACAGAGCCTTGGGGTACCCCACAGAACAGATGGGTAGATCTGACATGATTTGGTTTCTACAGACACTTTAACTTCTGTTAGAAAAGTACGATCTAAACCAGTCTAGAACAGTTCCAGAGATCCCCACCGAGTCACCAAGTCTGTTAATTAAGGTGCTAGCAGTGCCTACACCACACTCAGGATAATCTAGACTCTTCATATATCTATTCCACAGATGTGGAATGACCTACTAAGCACTACTAGAACAGGGGCTTCCTTGTCAATTTTCAAGAAACTCCTGAAGACCCAGCTCTTCAGAGAGCATCTTCTAAAATAGCACTCTTCCTGAAACCTGTCCCCCCACTCCATGTTCACTTCCCTCTATGATTGATTACGCTGCCTCACTGCCACCTGGGATTGACTAAATAGTGTTTGTTGTTAGCCTCAAAGGCAACCTGATGGCTTGATTATCACCTGCATGTCGCTTTGGACAAAAGGGTCTGCTAAATACATAAACATAGTGTCAAAGTCTTTACAGCAATTCTCAAACTAAACGAGCATGTAGCGACAGTGGAGAGGAAAACTCCCTTATAACAGTAGGAAACCCCCAGAGGATCCAGGCTCAGTATAAGCAGCCATCCACCATGACTCACTGCGGATGGAGAAGACAGAGCAGACGCGCACACACGTGCGCACGCACACACACACACACCATCTATACCAAGTGGTGGTTCTATGACTACAGTGATTTTTTAGTAAATATTCTATTTAGTCAAAGATTAACTTTATTGTCTTTATCATAGTGAATCTATAATTAATTAAACAGGTAAATGTTAGTTTAAACAAGTTATTTAAATTATCATTTTGCTCTGAGTACAGGATGAGGAGGAGGAATAGCAACGATTTTTCTCCACATTTGACATGTCTAATGATTTTACCAATTGGGAGCATATATAGTAAAAAGAATTGGTCCAAGCACTGAACCATGTGGTACTCCACAAGTAACCCTAGAGTATGAAGAAGATTTGTCATGTACATTTACAAAATGAAATTATCAGACAGGTAGGATTTAAACCAGCTTAGCGCTGTTCCTTTGATCCCTACAACATGTTCAAGTCTTTCTAAAAGAACATTGTGATCAACTGTGTCAAAGGCAGCACTGAGATCTAACAAGACTAGAACATACAAAAGATTCTTATCTGGAGGCCATGAGAATATCATTAGTAACTTTCACTAATGCAGTTTCAGTGCCTATGGATCTAGCTCCGCCTATTTCATTACCGGCCCTCACAGCTGCATGTTTCAGTTCTTGAGAAATCACCCCAGAGGAAAAGCTACTATTAACAATGGTTACAAACAGAGGGGCTAGGATAGTGAAAACCTCTTCAGAAAAACATGCCGACATGGGATCATGAGGCGTGCCAGCAGTTTTCCTCTTAGAGGCCACTTCCACCAAGTTTGACATGGACACTAGAGCAAAGAAGTCCTGGGATGGTAAAGCCGGGCGTACACTGTGTTACTTTTTCACTTTTCTGAGCCGATTTTCCACTCGCGCGAGAATCCACAAGATCGGGGCAAGTATTGCGCCGTGTAGTGTACAGGGGGTAACAAGAGGCAATTAACACCACGTGACCAGCTACCGATCAGCAATCGTGAGCTTGCACGGACTTCTGGCGTGGTTGATATTTTGCTCGTCCCTCATGAGGGTATCGCACTGTTGAAGCGGCGCTGCGAGCAGCAGCGACCCAAAAAGTATCAGAACCGCTCACGGCGCATGCGCAATCCTGCATCAACACCGCTCGCCCGCTATTTCCCTAATAACACACGTTGTTCGTTTTTATTTCTACACGTTTTTTTTACTCACAATGATTGTCAAGAAAGCGTGTTTGTCGTGTTCATGTCAAATTAAACTTATCACAAAACAGTTTTACTTTATTTTGTTTTCCTCATCCAACCCCCATAAATCCCTGTGTGTCCTCCTGCAGCACTCCCGAAGGACAACAGGCAAGACAAAAAAGTCTGACGTGTTGTGTAAAAACTGCTATTTTTAGCACATTTTTAGGTCCGACGTGTTGCTACCAGACGTACAGTGTGAGCTGTCAGGTCGCATTCGAGAACTGGGTCGTACAGTGTGAGCACATCACTCGTGAGATCTGCCCTGCGAGGAAGTCGTACAGTTTGAGCTGAAACTGAGTGCTACGAGTGAAAAAGTCGCACAGTGTCCGTCCGCCCAGCTTAACTCGCAGGCAGAGAGGCGCATGAGGGGCAGGACTAGCCAGCTCAAAAATAACCAATCAGAAAAAAGGTACAAACGTGTGGTGGGATCAATCTACCTACATTTTATTTTTTAAGAACTTTATTTTTTCTTGGTTTTTATTTTCCTATCTTCCTGTCCTGTCTGTCTCTGATCTTCCTGCATCTCCCAGTCCTCCAGAAAAACTCCTGCCTGCTTCCTTCTTTTTCACCTCACAAGTCACTTTTTAACCAGCAGATCAAATTGATCTATTGACTGCAAAAATAGAGGAGTGTGCGCTACGCCAGTGACGAGCGCGTCCACACGTCATGCTCAAACACAGACAGAACTTACCAGAGAGAAAATGAACGGACACGAATGACTGTGTGTTAATTGTATATTTTTGGTGACACCACTTAGAAACTTAGAAAATGTTGCTGTGGCCGTGTGCAGAACGCAGCTGAAGTTCATGAATAATCAGCGGTCTGCCTGCTGCTCTGCCCAAAAGAATCCCCGATACTCTTGAGTCCATGTAAATAATATAATAAAGGTAGAAACTAGATCTCTTTTGTGCTCCTTCTGGGTGTGGAAGTTAAGGGCATCAGGGGAGCCTGACAACCTTTAAGGAGAACTAAGTTGCTCTCCTGTAATTTGAACCCAGTATCCAACTCCGGATCGGGGCTTGGATCGGGAAGTAAAGCCTGAGTCCCAATCAGTCTGCAACCACGTGATCAGGGCCGATTTCCGATCATGTGATCGGATCGGGACATCCCTAGTGCTAAGTTTTCTACAGTTAGGACAGCAGCCCCCCACCTGCACCTGAACATCTCGGGACATTAAAACAGTCCTTAGCTACCAGTTCAGAGAACACCCCTGTAAACCCCAAAAGGACCCAACATTCCACAATCTCGAAGAAATTGAGACTCTGTGTTCCAAAGTTCAGACCTTTTAGGAGGTTTGGTCGAGGCAGATTTTGTAGACCAGGAGGCCAATGTTTGGACTCCAACCGCCACTTCATGTAGATTAAATTAATCAACTCCGCTCCAGCAAACCCTGAATGGTGCAGGAGCATGAAGAAGGCCAGCGGTCTGGCTTCTCCCAATCACAGGAACCAGGCAATGATCTGGCCTCAAAAAGCCAGGAGCAAAACTTTGTTTTTTGATGAGTGCTACATCACAAACAGGCCATACTGAGAATGTCTTGTATTTCAGGGCGACACACCCAAACATCGTGCTGCCAAAGCCCAGGACCTGGAGCTGGCCGACTACCTTGGGAACCGGCAGCACTACCAGATGATCCAGAGGGAGGACGAAGAGACGGCAGTGTGACCTGGAACCAGAACTCTCACTTTATGTACCCCCACAGAGGTCCAAGTAAATGGGTCTCTGCTGGGTGTAGGGCTCAGTTTTCAGCTCTACTTTATGGAGTGGTTCTTGGCTCTCTGTCCTTTTGTCGAACTGGACCACAAACCCAAACCAGTTTGGATTTCAGCCCAGAGACGAGGCAGCAGCTTTAAGGAACCACTGGTGTCTTCTGTCCAGCTGTTTGAGATGTTTGGATGCAGTCCAGACAGAAAATGTTTCGTATTTAATGACTAGATATTTATGATCTGTTTGTAGAGATAAAACCTTGATAATCAAAGCCTTAGATGTTTGACTGTCTGTTACAGTGCTGAAGCCAGAGCCTGGTTCTGCCAGGTCTGGACCATTAAGATAATCTTCTCTGTAATCATGTCTCAACTGTCTGGTCTCCTTGTTTCTGAGAGACCTGCAATAAAGCATGTGAGCAAGAAGGTTCACGAAGACTGTTTCTGTTACTGGTACCATCAGTCCGAGAGCTGAAGAGAAGCATCTCTCATTATCTGTCATTTTAAACCAAAGCTAAACCCAGAGGGACTCAAAAGCTTCACATGTATCAGGTCAGGTCCCCCTAGACTGGTCTTCACAGGTTCTGGTCCATTTTTTTTTTCTTTTTTACCGTGTCCTGTCTGGCTGTGAAGCAAACAGAATTGATGTCTGAATGCTGGTAACAAGACTTACAGATTTACTCTCAGGTGGAGCATCAAAGCGTCTGCTATTAATTTCATGCCTGATACTTAAAACTTTATTGTTATTGTTTTTGAATGCTTTGTAATTCTGACCAGACACGGAGACAGAGGTGAAAGAGAAAGGAAAAGACAAAAGGTGGGAAGAGAGGGGGGAAGGGGGTGGGGTCCACAAAAATAAACAATGAACAAGAGTCTGCTTCTAGACCTGCAGAAAGAGAAAGAGCAGAAAAAAGGGACACACAACAATACATCAGGAGCAAGCTATCATTGCGTCAACCTGATGATGAAATATAAAATCAACATTGTTTAACTGAACAATCACACAATAAATCATAGTGCATTTAGTGGCAACGACAGCCTTAAGACAAGTGTTGAACGTGCCCAAGCCCATACTTTTGAGAGCACCATGTGAGCACCTGTGTACACGCGCTTGTTTATGTAAGGTTTCTCTATAGGAGCGTCCAATAGAGAGTGCGAGGGACCACAGATCCGCCCCCCAAAGATGTGTAAGAGACGGGGGGAGCTCCAAGTCCCAGAGATCCAGGCGCTGCCCCAGAGCACAGGAACCCCAAGGAGACTGCAACCAGAAAGGCCCCCGCCCCCCTCGAGAGGCACAGAGGATCGCCACGGGGGGCCACAACCAGCAGCCGGCAGAGTCCCGGGAGATATCAGCGGCAAGCCCACAGGCCCGCCCGCAGCCTCCCACCCCCTAGCCGGCCGAGCCCGGACCCAGCGACCCGGGACCCAGGGGCGACCACCCCCGCCGGGGACCCAGCAGAGCCCAGGGACCCAGACCCCACCAGGCAGCCACCGGTTCTGGTCCATCCTGACATGATTGCATCAGTTCCCTCCATGATAAGAAGCTCCTGTTCCACCATATCCCAAAGGTTCTGGACTAGGCTGAGATCTGGTGACTGCGGAGGCCGCTGGAGTCCAGTGACAATGGTCATGTTATAGAAACCAGTTAGAGATGATCTGAGTTTGTGACATGGTGCATGATCCTGTTGGAAGTGCATCAGAGATGGGTCCACATGCCAACAAAGATCAAACGGGTCCCAATGGTTTAAAGGGATACTTTACAACTTTTTCATGTTTTTAAATAATTTTCTTGTGCCAGTATGCACATAATGACCCTTTAAAGGGTTAAAGAAAAGGCCTTCTGTGGCCAGAATACCACACCACCGGTCTGGTCCCTGCTGATGGAGGGAGATGTGGAGTGGAGGTGACAGACTTCGTGCTGCAGTCTGCTTCCAGCACATTTCCTGCATGCTTTAGATCATGAACACAGCTGATTTGTTTAATTTAGTGATGCATCACTCATGTAGACACTAAGGAATGCTGGGAGACATTTCAGCTGTAAAATTAAGGCGTTAAAAAGACGAACGCACAGCAAGGAGGAACGTTATGCTTTCGATTATACCTCAGTGAATTAATGACAGACACTAGGGGGTGCTAAAAGCAAGCAAAACTCCAAAGGGTGCCTTTTCAACAGGGTCAAGCTGGATCTAATGACGCTTAAAGGTTGGTTTATGCTTGACGCGTCTGCGAGGTCCGCACGGCTCCGTGCTGAAAAGTTGCATCATTTTAACAACCACGCCCCTCCACACGGCCCAAACTTTCCACACCGCGCACCTAGGAATTTTTCTAACCACGCGAACGGTCGGACGTGGAAAAACATGGCGGACTGGCAAGAACTAGTATGGCAGAGGTTTTTAAATACAGATATTTGTATGATTCAGCTCTCAAGAGATCACCGTGATCAACATGTTAATAATTCTTGGAGAGAAATAGCTCGCACTGTCGGAAAAGACGAGGACGCTGTTAAAAAATGCTAGAATGCCATGTTGTAAACAACAGTAATTTTTACTTCTACTATGGTGTAGTGTTGGATGCATGCCATAGAGCTCCATGCTGCCCCCTACAGTTTGGGAGAATATTGGCTCACCGCAGAGACAAGCTGCATGACCATAAACGCTGCAAGTTGTGATGTGCGTTCCATCCGCGAGCCGCATCACCAAGCGGAAAGTAAATGCGTCAAGCATAGGTTGTCACGGTAACTGGTGTAGCAGTAAACCCCGGTAAAAAAGTTGGCAATAATAACCGTCTTGTTTTTAAAAAAACTATTATCTCGGTGGATTACCGTGGCTGCGGTGTAGGCGCGGTGACCCTTACCAGCCACCGCATCATCTGCTGAAGTTGCCGGCGGTACATGCGCACTTTGTTGTTTACAACCAAAACTTTCATGAAGCTAAAGCTGAAATAATGGCCAAAGGAGGAGACGGCAGCGCGCAGGACATTTCACATTTATTATCCCTCAAAGAAGACAAAGTCAGTTTGGATATTTGAAGAATGCCGAGGGACAGTTGATAGAAGACGGCTATCCTGTTTGCAGCACGTGCAGAAAAAGTGACTGTGAATGGCAGCAACGCTTCAAATCTCATGACACATCTGCTTGACCATCACCCACAATTCTACAGTCAACACAAGGCAAGCTAACGTTAGCGCTTTAGCTAAAATGTGTGATCCGAGGATTTGGGTTGAGGGAGAATGCAACGAGTCGCTATATAAAGCAGCCGCAGCGCCGCTACCTGCATATAAACCGTGTTGCTGACACCCCAATATTGAAATGACGCTATGCATTACGGGGCTCCCAGGGGCAGATAAGAGTTGGTCTCTCTCCGAGAATAATTATGAATTTATAACATTTTCCCACATCTGCAAAGCTCACTGGAAGGACACAAACCGAGGACAATATTTTCCTGATATAGGGTTTATTACTCAAGTAAGGGTAAAAAAAAAGTATCTGATCAGAAGGCTACTTGAGTACTGAGTATCATCTGGTCTAATATTTTTAAATGATGACATCAAACAGACAAAAAATAAGAAGTTATGGGCAAATATTGGTATTTTAAAGACTAAAGGGGAAAAATGTAAACAAATAAACAACATAATTACAAAATAACACATTTTAGGCAAAATTTAGACACAAACGGAGGACAATATTTCTTGACATACAGTATTTAATTGTGTGAAAATGTAGCATGTTTAAAAAAAACTACAGCGATACCGAAAACCGTGGTAATTTTGGTCACAATAACCGTGAGGTTAAATTTTCACACTGTGACAACCCTAGTCAAGCATAAACCAAGCTTTACACATTAGCATCGGTTTGGTCGGGCTGGATTTAAAAGGCTGAAAGTGGTTTCAGGCTCTGGAAACAGATGGACCTGAGTTAGCTCAAATTGAGCTGAGTGTTTGTATGAAGCCTGAACCTGATGTGCAAACATGAACACATACTCTCCTCCTGGATGACACACATTCCACAGATTAAACACACACAGATTTGTCTTCATGCAGATGAGCTGAGCCTGTTTTGTTATGCAGGATTAGAGACACACACAGAGAGAGAGACACACAGAGAGAGACACAGAGAGAGAGAGAGACAGAGACACACACAGAGAGAGAGAGAGAGAGAGAGAGAGAGAGAGAGAGAGAGAGAGAGAGAGAGAGAGAGAGAGAGAGAGAGAGAGAGTGTGTCTCAGAGACGTTAGTCCAGTAGCTGAAGCGGGACAGAAAGTGACGGCTCTCGGTTAGACAGCTGCTCCTCTTAACTCGACATGTAAGTCTGAAGCTTTTTCTGATTTGTTTAGGTTTTAAACAGAAACTGATGATTGTTTATTTTGTGGATCAGCTGATTGAACTCAGTGATATGTGAAACTTTGAGACTATTTAATGATTTCAACTTGATAAAAAGTAGATTTTTTTATATTTAGTTGCTTTATGGCACAGCTGACTGAGGAACTTTAGCTGCTTCAGATTATTTGTTAAAGTTTGTTTAGTTCAAACTCAAAGAAAAAGCAGAATAAAAGATGAATAATGTAACGAGAAACAGATGAAAGTCTAGGTCACATAGGTGAGTTCATATTTATCAGCTGAGGTGAACTTTGACCTTTTAGCATGAGAAGCTGAGCTGGAGGGCTCTGACTGAAACTCTGGGCTGGTTAAGAAAGCGCCACTGTCAGGTTCCATTTGACCTCCAGAACATCACAGACCCGTTTACTCTAAGCTTTTGGACTTGTTCTGGACTTCAGGTCATCTATCTCTGTGATCAAGAGCTGAGTCTACAGTTTCTTTGTGTCCTGGTCTTGATGGTTCTGGTCTGGTGTTGACCCTGGGATTCCAGAGGACACATCCATGTCCTGCTGAGTTCTTATTGTTTTTTCATGTAAATGGTGCAAAGGAGGACTTCAGGAGGACCAGGGGTGGACGGGGAAGGACTGGACCGGTGGAGGACTTGGGGCTCCTCTGAGGAGGACTATGTGAAGCCAGACCAGAAGAGGTTTAGTTTTGAACCAGTGATTTAGGATTCTTTTGAGGATAAATCTAAAGAGCTCTTTGAGCTGCTGCCTGTAACCCCCTTCCCCCTATTGATGGGGCCATGGGGGAGGAGAGGGGAGACAGCTTGGAGGCCTGCTGAGAGCCAGTCTTTCTCTATGAAAGCTGCAGGATTTGTTCTGCCAGCTGACGTGTGAAAGAGCCTGAAAGACGAGTCTGTCGCTGCAACACAAAGCCCACGGAGGGGCATTCTGGGTAATGGACTGTGGCTCAGAACCGACCCAACTGGATGAGAAGAAACACATTACACATGTGTAGATCACAACACGGCTGCATACATTAACCCACTTTCATAATCCTGATGCATCAAAACCTGGGGAGGGTGGGGATTGGTGCTGAGGCCAGGTCCCACAGACCCCCCCCCCCCCCCCCCCCCCCCCCCACACATCCCCAACAACATGGTTCTGTATTTCCTCCCCCAACTTTCCAGTACCTGCTTCCTTGTGGATCCAAGCGGGCTGGTCCTCTGTCTGGTCTACACAGAGGACCGAATCTAGATACTCAGAGGCAGAGAGCATCGTCCTGTCCCCTTGGCAGAAAAGCCCCCTCACAGCATGATGTTTCCACCCTCATGCTTTACAGTAGGGATGGTGATCTTGGAATGCAACTCATCCTCCTTTTACCTCCAAACAGAGCAAGTGGAGTTCAGACCAGAAAGTTGAATTCAGACCAGTCTCGTCTAACCACATGACGTTCTCCCATGCCTCCTCTGGATCATCCAGATGGTCATTGGCTAACTTCAGATGGGCCTGTACATGTAATAACCTTATGTATGATTTTATACCATGACACCATAGCGTTCTACCAACAACGACCTTTGAACCTGTGGTCTCCCCTCTCTTCATTTCATTGACCAGCTCCTCCTGTGTAGTTCTGGGCTGATTCCTCACCTTTTTCATCACCAGTGATACCCCACCAGGTGAGATCTTGCATGGAGTCCCCGTCCGAGGGAGACTGAAAGTCGTCCAACAGTTACTCCAACTGTTGATCTATTGTTACCAAGCTGCTTGGCAATTGCCCTGTAGACCTTTCCAGCCTTGTGGAGTTCCACTTTTTGTCTCTGGTGTCTTTTGACATCTCTCTGGTCTTGACCATGGTAGTAGTTGGATTCTGACGAGCACGAGATCGATAAGCAGATCGGTGCTGTATCTGCATTGATGTGGGCGTTGTACCGCTCTGTCGTGCTGAAGAGAGAGCTGAGCTGGAATCTGAAGCTCTCGATTTACCGGTCAATCTACGTTCCTACCCTCACCTATGGTCACGAGCTTTGGGTGGTGACCCAAAGAACAAGATTGCGGATACAAGCAGCCAAAAGGAATTTTCTCTGCAGTGTGGCTGGGCTCTCTTAGAGATCGGGTAGGAAGCTTGGTCGTCTAGGAGGGGCTCAGAGTAGACCCGCTGCACCTCCACATTTGGGAAGAGCAAGCTGAGGTAGCTTGAGTTATTAATGCGCTACAACTGATTTGAAGACGTAGGTATGTACAACTGATGTTCATTCAGATGATCACAGCTGAACCCAAGTCCTGATTAGACCCAAGTTCTGATCTGATTCAACAGTGAGGATCTTACCTAGGGCTGGGCGATATGGCCTAAAACCAATATCACAATATTTTGAGGATTTCACCTCGATAACGATAAATTTTCGACCTATTGCCCAGCCCTAATCTCACCTTTGTGATGTTTAGTTCTCTTGCTGGCATCAGCAGTCAGAACCAGAAACAGAACCAGTGTGATGGCGAGCAAACGTCCCATCCTGCAAAGACACAAACATACAGAAACATCAGGTCAACGGCCTGTATTTGTACAACAACTTCTAGGGTTCTACAACCACCCAAAATCAGTTATTCACACATTCACACCCTGATGGTGATGAGCTACGATGTAGCCACAGCTGCCCTGGGGCGCACTGACAGAGGTCTGTCAAACACTGGCGCCACCGGTCCCTCAGACCACCACCAGCAGGCTAAGTGGGTTAAGTGTCTTGCCCAAGGACACAACAACAGCATTCTCTGGTCAAAACCGGGACAGAACCCGCAACCTTCTGATTACTGGACAGTCTGCTCTACCTCCTGAGCTACTGAGCTGTCTCCAATCGATGGATGGGGATGGAAGGATGGATGCATGCATGGATAGATGGATAATAATAATTATACATAAGTTCTATAAAGCACTTTTCACAATAACACAAAGACGCTGTACAACTAAGAGACATTAGACAAGACTAATAAATGCAAAGAGAATAGGTTAATGTGATTTGAATACTTGGTGTAACAGGTGAGTTTTTAGTGCTTTATAGAATATTTGCTGTAAGTCCACATCACAGATGTGTTGTGGGAGAGAATTCCATAAGGTTGGGGCATCAATGGAAAAAAACTGTCTCCGATGGTGCTTTGATGTGGCTACCTGTGAGAGCAGGTTGGATCTGAGATGATGGGAAGGGTAGTAATGACAAAGAAGGTCAGAGAGATATGATGGGGCAAGGTTATTAAGAGCTTTGTAGGTGATAAGTAATATCTTGAACTGAATACATTGTTGAACCGGAAGCCAGTGAAGATCTTTTAAAACCGGCGTTATGTGTTCCCTACTACAGGTGTGTGAAAGAAGCTTGGCAGCTGAGTTTTGAACATATTGAAGTTTCTGTAGGTGTATACGAGTGAGACACCTTTGACCCTAGCATATCACATACAGTAGACTATTACAATAGTCAATTCTGGATGAGATGAAGGCATGGATGAGTGTTTCTGCAGCCTTGAAAGATAGAACAGGGCGAAGGCGGACAATATTACATAGGTGAAATTGTGGATGTGAGGTTGAAGGAAAGGCCAGGGTCAAAGGTGACACAGAAGTTTCTAATTTGAGGAGATGGAGGGACAATATGTCCAATATTGAGCGAGAACTCTAGCCTAGTGAACTAGACCAAATTCTTGCTTTGCAAATTTTGGTCTAGGCATGCTCCATTGGAACCTCCGCAGCTCCTACCAGGACTCTGGCTAGCCAATCACAGCTCTCTAGAGGGGTTTCAAAACACATAAAGAGCTGTGATTGGTCCATAACGGTGGGCCAATCATAGTGCTCTATCTGCTTAGTGAACAAATCACAGAGCTTTATCCGCTTTGTGGGCCAATCAGGGCACTCTATATGCCTGGTGGGTGGGATGATGCAACAGAGTGAAACAAGAGTATGTCACATTCTTTGTCCAGTGGAATGCGGAGATCATTTGAAAGACAACGGTAGAACCCGCCCCACAACCGAGAGCAGTCAATGGAGCGTGGCCAGACTAAATAATACATTTATTTAGTCTGGCTTGCCAGGCTACGAGAACTCCTTACTGGAAGGTAGAAGTGCTTTTGGTCCGGTAATAAGCAGTTCTGTCTAATTGCAGTTCGGTTTTAGGAAACTGTTAGACAGCCAGCACTTTATGTCATTAAGGCAGTTTGTTACGACAGAGACTGTGGTTGGAGTAATGGCAGTTGTAGATAGGAAAAGTTGAATGTCATCAGTGTAACAGTGAAACTGAAGTCCATGTTGACGAGTGATATTCCCAATGGGTAACATGTAGATGATGAAAAGGAGAGGACCAAGAACCGAACCTTGAGGAACACCATGTGTAACTGGGGTGATATTGGAACTGCAGTTGTTTATGGAAATGTATTGAGATCTATTGGTGAGGTATGATGTGAGCCAGGATAGCGCTAAACCAGTAATGCTAATGTGAAACTGCAAATGGCGTAGGAGGACGAAGTGATCGATTGTATCAATTGCAGTGCTTTGGTCGAGGAGAAGGAGTATTGAAAGAGATCCCGAAGCCAACAGATCACTGGTCAGGGCCGTTAGTGAGAACGTTAACCTGATTTAAAGGTCTCAACGAGCTCATTGGAATGGAGATAATGGGTTAGCTGAGATGCTACTGAACGCTCAAGGATTTTGGCATTGAAAGGGGGGTTACTAATGGGGCGAAAGTTTTCAGGGTCATCGTGATTCAGACAGGGTTTTTTTGGATATTGGTTTAATGGGAGATAGTTTGAATGCTGAAGGGACAGTTTCAGCGGTCAGCGAGTTAATAATTTCCAGGATAAGTGGACTGAGGCATGAAAGACTTGATTTTAGAATTACTACTTGGCATATATGGTGTGTGTCTGTGTACATGTATATATATATATATATATATATATATATATATATATATATATATATGTGTGTGTATGTATGTATGTATGTATGTATGTATGTATGTATGTATGTATGTATGTATGTGTGTGTGTGTGTGTGTGTGTGTTTGCTCTTGTCTTATCCATCCCCAGTGAGTCATGGTGGATGGCTGCTTATACTGAGCCAGGCTCCTCTGGAGGTTTCTTCCTGTTAAAAGGGAGTTTTCCTCTATGAGGATTGCTGTAAAGTCTTGATGCAACCTGCTGGGTTCCTTATATAGGAAACGTTTTACTGATTGGCTTAATGACCTGACCTGTATTGGAACGTTTACTGCGTGAAGGTCCTTGAGACGACTCTTGTCGTGATTTGGCTCTTTAGAAATAAATTTGACTTGAATTTTACTAATGGTGATGGGATAGGGTCCAAGGGGCATGTGGTGAGATTGATTTTTGAAAAGTGCTTATTAAGCTCAAGGTCTGTCATCAGGGATAGTGTAGCAAATTCATTTTGGATGGGCATAGGGAGATCGGTCCTGTAAGTCGTTTTTTTGTACAGACCTTCCAGTTGTCTATGCCGTTTACTTCAGGTTGTGAAGTTCAGGGGTGTACCATGGGGCAGATCGTTTGAAGGACACTGATTTTGTTACAATGGGAGCCAATACATTGAAGCTGATTGAAAGGACATTGTTGTATATGGCAAATGGGTCATAAATGGTTCATCCCGTAGGGGAGTTTCAGAGATGGCACTGGAAAAGTGTGTAAAGTTGGTGTTGGGACAGAGACTTGAGGTTGAAGGACATTTTTCTGGATAATTTGGGTGCATGACCAGGAAATTTCATGTTTAAAGTTATTGCCAGATGATCAGAGACACTGAGGTGAGGGTGGGACAGAGTTCCAACATCCAGACCTGTAGAGCAAACCAGGTCCAGAATATGTCCATGGGTGTGATTGGGAAAGTCCGCATGTTGAATGAAGTTGTAGCTACATCCATGAAGTCAGTAGTTAATTTACAGTTGGGGGAGTCAATGTGATTGTTAAAATCTCCTAGGGGCAGTATTGCTGAAGAGACTGAGCAAAGCTGAGTGAAAAATTCAGCAATGTCTGAGAGAAAAGACAAAACAGGTTTTGGGGGATGGTATATTATAGAGATGACCGGGGGATGGATCCAAGGAGTTTGAATGTCAGATGTTCAAAGGAGAGAACATCAGGAATGGAACACGCCTGAGGTTTAAGGGTTTGCCAGTAGATAGCAGCAATACCTTCCCCTCTGCCAGTAGTACTGGGTTTATCCAAGTAAGAAAATCCAGGTGGGGTAGTTTGATTCAGATAGCATTTTTCCTGTAGTTTCTACAAGACAGAAAAGTTCCAGTTGTGCGTCCTTTATTAATTCATTGAGGAGGAGGCTTGGATGGAAGGAAGGATGGAAATAGTTTTTAGGAGCATTCGATAAATGATTAATCCTTTTTCCAGGCTGTTTCTCCTTGACTTTTATAATGAACATCCTTATTTAAAAAGAAAACAGTTAAAGACCCTTTTTCATTGACCTTTTTTCTTTTGTTTTGTTGTCTTTAAACCATTATTCATGCAACTGTCTTTGAAAAGAACGTTATGATTTTTGTCTGTGAAAGACGCCACACAAATAAAGTTTACTCACACGTGTCCTGCCTCAGGGACACTACACATTAGCATCAGCATGGTCGGGGGCAGGTGGGGCTGGAAGGCGTGAGTTCGGTCTCTAACGGGCAGTATAGCATTCACATATAAATCCGATAGACTCCTCAGGAATGCGGAAATCCCAGCGCCTGTGGGCAGAGTTTAATACTTTCCCGTGGCGTCTTCGATAATGAGGTAAACAAAGTCACACCCACACCCCCACACACACACACACCCACAGCCACAGCTCTGACCAGAGGATGCTGCTGTAGTGTCCTTGGGCAAGATACTTAACTCACCTTGCCTGCTGGAGGGGCCGGTGGCACCAGTGTTTGGCAGCCTCGCTTCAGTGAGTGCGCCCCAGGGCAGCTGTGGCTACAGTGCTGCTCACCATCACCAGCTTCTGAATGACTACTTTTGTTGTGCAGCGCCTTGGGGGTTGTAGAACCCTAGAAGGTGATATACAAATACAGGCCATTTACCATTTACCTGATGTTTCTGTATGTGTGTCTTTGCAGGATGGGACGTTGGATCGCCATCACAATGGTTCTGTTTCTGGTTCTCACTGCTGATGCCAGCAAGAGAACTAAACATCACAAAGGTGAGATCCTCACTGCTGAATCAGATCAGAACTTGGGTTCAGCTGCGATCATCTGAATGAACATCAGTTGTTCACACCTACGTCTTTATAGCGGTTGTAGTGATTTCAGCCATAGAGACCTCACCATGGCTCACACACCTGGAGTAAATTAGGCCTGCACTAGCACCGTAGGGTTCTAAAATCCCCCAAGGTGCTTCACAACACAATCAGTTATTCACACATTCACACCCTGGTGGGGATGAGCTACGATGTAGCCACAGCTGCCCCTGGGGCTCACTGACAGAGGCTAGTCTGCCGAACACTGGCACCACCGGTCCCTCCGACCACCACCAGCAGATAAGGGGGGTTTAGTGTCTTGCCCAAGGACACAACAGCAGCATTATAGGAATACACGTATCAAAGGTAGACACGTTCATGATGCTTGACCATGGAAGCTGTGGCTCTCTTTGAAGATCATGCCAATAGCAGGATCCAGATGGGGAGTTTTTGGAGACCATGAAGGTTTCCTGGCCCGTGACTGGCTGGTTTAGATTCCCTACTGCAGTCGAAGCCTGTTGTTGGATCAGCCGATCCACTGGAACTGGTCATCCACCTGCAGCTGCTGCACTCAGGTTTCATTAAAGGTGTGGACACTGAGAAACCGAGTTTTAATGATTATTTCTGATCAGAATCAGGTTTTTCATGCAGGCTGAACATGAAAATAGTCTCCTACAGTCTACTAAGCTCCTGTTACTCAACATACTCATAATAATCATGAGGGGAGCAGGTCTTTGTGCTGCTACCCCCACACCGACAGGCACCATCCCTCACCTGCTCCAAGTTGCCAAGAAGAGTCACTTCTATGACTTGGAATTTGGCCAGTGATTGTTTTTCTTCTTGATCGGTCTTTTATTGTTGTTTGTTCTGATTACTTCCTTTAAGTTATTCTATAACACCTTGATCAGCTCCCACTCAGTTTTTATCAGTACACCTACTGTCTCTCCTGCATTAGCAGGAATTAGCTGACGGTCTGATTTTTGCCTAACATGAACAATAATAATAATAATAATAATAATAATAGCATGTCCATCTATAGAAGAAAGTGGGTGTGTAGGAGGCGGGGTATAATTCAGAAACACATTAACACATTTCTAGGACAGGTGTGATTATTAAGCAGGAGGATTCTGGACATGTAGAGGACGCTGGTTACGGTCTAGTCAAACCGACAGATGAGTGTCTCTCTGCTCTACAGCAGGTAAGCACGAGAAATCTCAAAACTCTGAGTGCCCTGCTGCTGAAACCCGATTTGGAAAATGTGTCCCGGATCACGGAGACTGTGGAGACGGCCTGAGAGAGACCATCTGCAGGGACCAGGTCGAGAAGATCCACTGCAGGATCCCCTGCAACTGGAAGAAGGACATCAGTAAGACTCCTCGAACACTAACCAGTACTGACCTAGACAATAAAAACACTGACAACCTGAAGTGGGCGCTGATAACTGTTTATGTCATTCATGTAATAAAACCAAAACCCTAAATAAGTCAAGTTTTTAATGTAAAACAACAAAGTTATTAATAGTGAGGATCACAGAGAAATGTGTAATCATAGTTATTTTTAACTCTGATCAGTCACTGAGTGTTTCATGTAGGTTGAACATGAAAATAGTCTCCTACGTCTATCTCCTGCAGTAGCTTCTGATAGAAAACAGAGTGAAACTCTAGGATTAGAAAAGCCTGACAGATCTACGTCACACTGAAAAAACTACAGAAATGACAGCAACACCAGCAAGAGGATGAACAGGAGTTCAGACACCAGCTTAATAGATGTGTTAGAGCTGCGTTTTAAAGGATACATTTACATCTTTTAAATCAACCATGTTTTGGGGGTTTTTTCAGGTGACTGTAAGTACAGGTTTGGTCCGTGGGGTCCATGTGACACCGCCACCAACACCAAAACTCGGTCAGGCACTCTCAAACGAGCTCTGTTCAACGCCGAGTGTCAGACCACCATCAAGGTGTCCAAGCCCTGCTCCCACAAAACCAAGAAGACTCGAGGTGAGTCGGTTCAAAATGCAATGTGCACAGTACAACTTAACCCTAAAATGACCTAAAGGTGACTCTAGCACCAAGTTTACTTCTATAACCCCAAATCATGACAAGAGTCATCTCAAAGCACTTCACAAAGTCCATCCATTCTCCTCTACTTATCCAGAGTTGGGTCGCGGGGGCAGCAACCTAAGCAGAGAGGCGCAGACTGCCCTCTCACCAGCCACTTGGGCCAGCTCCTCCAGCCGTGAGACATAGTCCCTTCAGCGTGTCCTGGGTCTCCCTTTAGATCTCCTGGTTGGACGTGCCCAAAAAACCTCACTAGGGAGGAGTCCAGGAGGCATCCTAACTAGATGCCCGAGCCACCTCAACTGGCTCCTCTCGATGTGGAGGAGCAGCGAGTCTACTCCGAGTCCCTCTTGGATGACTAAGCTTCTCACCCCTGTCTCCCTTAGAGGGATGGAGAAGACATGACCTTGACCTTAACATGAATTTATTACAACCGGAGAAGGAACCTAGCTTTAGCCGAACATGGGAATATTTGATGAGGCCTTACTAAACCAGCAATTAGTTCTCCCCAGGGATGGGTCAGTGTGTGCTGATGGCTATGGGACGTTAAATTAAAGGGTTGTTGCTCTGGGGGGATCAATGAAAAAAAGAAAACAAAACCTAATATTTTTTTCTAAAAATAAAATTGGAATCCGTTAGTTCCAAATGCCATTCCTCTGCTGCTTTGTGACCTTTGACCTCTTGAAGGAAGAACAATAAATATCAGCTGAGCGATTAATAAACAAAGTATGTAGGCC